CCGGTCTGCGGTGGTTGACCGGTCACGCTTGTGCGTAATCATATCGGCACTTTATGAGCTGAAGAGGATGTGAGATTCTGGGATTCTCCTCAGACGGCTCCTGGATGTGTCGCCACATTGGAGCCAGGAACAAGCACTATTCAGCCAAAGTTTCATAATCAGGGAACATTTTCTAAGTGACAAGTCTCTCTGAGAGACAGGGTTTGGAAAACACTCGCTTCAGTGGGAGGAATCTTCCCGCATGCGCACTGAATGGTTCTCTGCGTGGCTCTGGGGTTAATCAAGTTTAATTGTTTCTCTTTGCAACAATCTTCACAGGAAGGCAAAACAGTTAAACGGCAGGTTACATATATTTCCATTTGACTGTTTATTTTGACAGATGAACTCAAGGATGTTACTTGGTTTGAAAGAATTACCCAGACGCACACGGATGCGCATGGATGAGCTGACATTTTAATCGTTAACGCACATCGCGGAGGTAAAATATTCCCATCAGAACATCAGAGCTTTATACTGGACACTGTGTTCAGCGCGGCTCGGAGTGCCCACGGTGGACAGTGAGCTGAAGATCTGGGGTTCCAGCGCAGTGCAGAACCACGCGCATGCGATAAGATTTCCTCCCACTGAAACAGTCTGGAAACCCGGTCTCTCTGAGGGATGTGTCACTTGGAAAAATGTTCTTTTTATGAAATTATGAAACTTTGGCTGAACAGCGCTTGTTCCCGTCTCTAATATGGAGACGCATGACGCGTAGAGACATTTGATCACGCACAAAGTTTATGTGGAGCAGAAGCGGTCGGGCCACGGCAGGTGAAAGGTTCCTAGCCTACATGAAGTGTAACTGTTTAATTGTAACATTAATGTGTTACTGGACACGCTGGTCTGGTTGGTTAGACCAGTGTTTGAAGCGGAAAACACACACACACACACACACACACACACACACACACACGCACGCACACATGCACGCACACACACACACACACACACACACACACACACACACACACACCAATTAAAATAATGCTGATAGCGTGGACTAGAAGACAGGTGATGGTTTACGTATTTAAATGATGATCAGGCTGCTGTAAAATGTAATCTCCATCCACATCCAGACACAATTATCCTCTATTCTGTCTCTATTTGCTCTGCTCTTGTCTGGGCTGATCAGCTGATGGTGCACGCGCCGCACCTAACTAGCGGCTGATGCACATTTTACGCATTTGGAGAGGTGGGCTGGATGCTTTGCGTTTACTGGAAGATGGTCCACTTAACGCACGGGTGTAGACTAAATATTAATGACAAATGAATGAAAATTAAATTGTGAGTTTTTACTTCATATTTTATAAATAAAAAGGACGGGGGAACACATTTATGACGTCTTTTAAATGAAATTTTCTAGCGCGACCTGCCTGCTTCATTTAAGTCACTGCTTATTAAGGTCCGTCCAAAATTACCGTGGGAAACTGGTAATAATGGCTCTTTGATGGGAATAGGTTGCCGACCCCTGGTATAAGATCTGAGCTGGTAAAACAAAAATCCTCATCAGCAGGCGTTTTTGAAAGTAGGGGGGACACAGCTGCCAATCACAAATTTTGCCGGGGACATGTCCCCGGCGTCCCCGGTTAAAATGACGCCTATGGGGAAAGGGCATAAAGATCAAAGATCAATAGAACTGTCAAAAATTGTGACGAAGGGTGGTTCTTTATACTCTCTCCCCATATTAACAGTAAAAGTCCTGTCTGACAGGTAGGACTTAAACCACTGCAACACTGAGCCCCGGATGCCAACGTCATGCTCTAGGCGGGATAAAAGGATCTGATGGTCCACCGTATCAAAGGCCGCCATTAGGTCTAAAAGGATCAATACAGCTGATTGACCAGAATCGATAGTTAAAAAAAATTGTTAAATATTCTTAAAAGAGCAGTCTCTGTACTGTGGTATTGCTTAAAACCTGACTGAAACTTCTCTAAAATACCATAATGGTTGAGGTCCTGCAGCTGCCTGTAGACAATTTTCTCCATGACCTTAGAAAGGAAAGGGAGCTTGGAGATAGGCCTGTAGTTGGAGAGCACCATGGGATCGAGATTAGGTTTCTTTAAGAGCGGCTGAATAACAGCATGTTTTAAGGTGGCAGGGACATGACCAGCAGATAAGCAAGTGTTTACAATAAGTAAAATAATGGGCCCAATAGTAGAAAATACATTTTTTAAAAGTGATGGGTGAATACTATCCAGTGGGCTGCAAGAATTTCTTGACTGGTGAAACACCTTTGAGAGGTCTGAGAGAGACAACAGCTCAAACTGGTCAAAAGCAGTTGAGCATGGTTGTGAAGAAGTTGTGTCCACAAGAGAGGAAGGGCAAGATGATCTAAGAGAGGTGATCTTATCTGTGAAGAAATTCTTTAACTTTTCACAGAACAGATCAGAAAACTTTAGGCAAGACACACCAAGAGTGATCAGATGACTCAATACACTAAATAAGACCTGAGGCCTATGGGAGTTATTTACAATAAGCATAGAAAAGTACTGTGTCTTTGCATGCTTTAGTGCACACTGGTATTCAGCACGAGCATCCCTAAGGATCCCTTCATGTCAGCGAGACATGAAGGTCGTCCTTTTTCCATTTTCTCTCAGCTCTTCTGCAGGCGCATCTGAGAGAACAAATAGTCATTCATCCATGGTTCTGGAGCATGCGCACAGCGCTGAGTTCCAAAAGGGGCAATACAGTCTAAAATGTCAGTACATGTAGAATTAAAACGTTCCAAGAGCTCATCAGCTGAGATGTCGCCACAGTCCCTCAGCGCTAAAAAAATCTGCTTCGTTAAAAGCGGCAATAAAATGAGAAGCAGTTAGTGAGTTCAAAAGGTGTCAGCAACGCTGTAACGGATCCCGGATCGGTGCAGAGATATCCACACATTCATTGAATAATACAGGAAAGTGGTCTGAAAACCGGGAGTCACTAATTTCAGTCACTTTAACATCAAGGCCAAGAGATAATATTAAATCCAATGTGTGGCCCTTTTCATGTGTAGGGCCTGATACAGACTGAATAAGGTTAAAAGAGGTAAGTAATTGCAAAAACTCCTTAACCAGAGGTTTAGTTGCACTGCAGACGTGAATGTTAAAATCACCAACAATTAAAAGCTTTTCAGCATGAAGAACGAGGTCTGCCATAAAATCAGAAAAATCAGTAATAAAGTTCTTATTAATCTTAGGTGGCCGATAGATCACTGCACAAAGTATAAAAGCATCAGACTGGATTTCAAAGAGTTGAGACTCAAAGCTCGGATAAGCATTTGAAGGGATGTTTCTGCATCGAAATTTAGATTTCCAAACAGATGCCAAGCCTCCCCCTTTGCCCGACAGACGAGGGGAGCCATGAAACGCACAGTCAGCTGGGAGAAGTTCAGAGAAGACCACTGACTCACCATCCCGAATCCAAGTTTCCATAAGGAATACAAAATCCAACGCTCGTGCTTCAAAGAAATCCTTCAGTACAAAGGTTTTATTTGTAAGAGACCCGGCATTAAGTAGTGCCATCCGAAGAGCAGGCCCATTTCCATCTGAGAGTCTCACACACTTCAAGGTCCGGAGGTTGGAAAAATCCAGTCCACTTTTCCAATTCATGTGTAGCGAGGGCAGGGGGCCAATACCTGCGAGGAGAGGCGCCGACCATCAAGTGCGGACCCAGGAAGAACAGGGAGAATCCAGGGAGGGCAAAGATGCTCCAAACGACGAGCAGCACAGGAAGCCTGGGCCGGCCTCGGAGCAGCACCACGGGTGGAGCGCAGGTAAACCCTGAGTCTAATCAGCATGCCACCCCGCTTCCCTCTTTTCCTCAAACGTTGCTTCGGAGGAGGAGCAGGAACAGCCAGATCCTCAGAGACAGGTGAGGGGAGAGGTAGAGGCTGGAATGGATGAGCATTTAACTGTCTTTGATTCTGCTCAAAATGGGCCCCATGGCTTACTATTGAGAATGAGATTTAAGATCTTCCATGTTTAAACCACCGCTGGCACAACACCAGCCTCATCCGGTATTTCAAGAGGATTTAAAATACTGAGCTTGTCAGTATCTAGGCCATGGACGTCATTTGGGGGGGGGACATGTCTCCCCCCCCCCCCCCCCCCCCCCACACACACTTTCTCCAAAGTCAAGCTTTGACCCCTGCACTTTTTACCATCCAAAAACAATTTTACGCTATATTAAATTGACACTGGTTGAGCTCTAGGACCAAGCAGAAAACAACCATTTGTGTTGAAGCCTGTTTCCCATTAGAGCATACTGTAAAGATTACCCCCCACCCCCGTGTCCCCTCCACATCTAAAGTGAAAATTACGTCCTTGATCTAGGCAAAAACTCGGCTATAAGCATAAATGTTTATAGCAGAATCTCCTTGGTGAGAGAAGAATATTACTCTAAAACAAACCATTCTTTTCCACTGATTATTTTAAGGAGCATAGAGCCCTACAGCGCCATCTGGTGGGGCCCTGCTCCACAGGCCCCTAATGCAGAGACATCACTGCTCTCCAGTGTCCAGATGTTAAATATTGTGCAATAAGGCAGAATTTAGGTAGAAATGAAAAGCCTCTTGAGGAAAACTCCAGACTGAAGCCGTTGTTTGTTTTCCTGGGTGGTCTGAGACTTCCTGCACATTTACAATCAAACACACACAGTAATTTGCTCTTTCCTGTCTGTCAGCTCACTAATGGAGGAAGTCAGACCCACTGCTGGATGAACTACAGGAAGGCATGTGCAGAACTGGAACAGAAATATGTTTCAGCTTGGAGATCGTTCTGTTGTCTTTATTGGATGAAATAACCCGTACCATCATTGTGTTTCTCTCTCTGATGTCAGTGCACGATGGGGCATGTGAGGCTGCTTTGCAGAACGAGTGTAAGGTGTTTATGTTGATCTGTTTCTGGCAAATATCAGGGGAGGGCACGGGAAGGTTTTGAGGAAATGGGTGTTGAGAACTCCTCCTATCAAACTTCACTTTCCCTCCTTGGTTTCCAAGTTACAAAGCTAAAATGTTTGTCAGGAAACGGCGAGGAAAAGAACAGGAGGAGAGAAACTGAAAACATCAGAGGAACACCGAGGGGCTGAAAATTTGTGGTGCTGAAGCCAACGGGGAAGATCTGCAAACACCAAAACCAGGTTTCTGTTGTTTTCTAATACTTAACAGAACAGGTTTCTGTTGTTTTCTAATACTTAACAGAACGTTTCTCTAAATAGATGCAACAATAATCAAAAGCTCAAAAAAAGGATCATAAATGTTTCTAGGAAGCTTCTAGTGAAATGTTTTATCTGTGATGTTTATATTGGACATGCCAGGAAATGTAAACAAGCAGCGTTTCATTAACCAGACAGGGTTTAATTAAACACACATGTCTCTTTGGGAGGAAAAACGTAAAGAAATGTGACAGTGCTGTCATTTATGATGCACATAAGAAGTAAAATTTGCATTTTTAAAGAGATGTTTGGGCATTGAAAAGGATTAATCATGGGTCGTTTTGGTCTATCTTGATATAGATTCCTATTTTCTTTTTAATTTTTGTTCTGGAACATTTTGTTAAATAAGTAATGTGGAAATATTAGAGAAAAAGATGCTTTGAAGCCATTGTATTAAACTTTTACTGGTGCTCTCAAAGGAGAAAGGGATTGTAAAAGTTAAAAAGGGCTGTTCTGGTACACGTTGTGTGATTCCTTCAAAAAATAACATGTTGGGTTAAAGGAAAAGTTTTAGTTACGTCAGAACAGCAAGAGCTAGAAAAAGTTCATTATTAATGACATAAAGCTTTCTTTATGAGCCTCAAACATCAACTGAGACTCAAAATTGATCAATTTTATGAGCGTTTGAGTTTTCAGAAATGATTCAACTGATGAAAGTTGGAACAAAGTGTTCCTGTTTAAAAATGGCAAAACTTTTAAGTTTTTGGAGGAACTTCTGTCTCGTAAAATTTCACAATAGTGGATTAAATGAGCTCACTCCAAACCACATGATCTCCACCTGAAATAAAGCTGAATCAGGGCATTTTTAGAGTTCTGGCAACTTTTTTCTACTTAGCTTAAATAAATGGAATGTGTAGAAATAACAAAAACATGTTTTTTTTGGTTATTTTATTTTGTAGAGAGAATTCATGCAGCTTTTTGTTTAGATATTTGCCTAAAACACTTGCCTGATTTGATCAAACCAGTAGAAATAGTCTGTGCAGGTGCAGAGATGAGATGCATGATGAAATCATACGTTTCGTTAACACGTCAGATGCAGATCTACTGATGTTGCAAAAGGAACATAAGACGTTTAGAAGCTCATCATTCATCAACTGTTGAAGCAATTTTCTTTTTGATTCATTTATTGTTTTAGAAACATATTAAGTAGTTGAAAATAAATATATCTTACATCCTCACAGGGTGTCTTTTGCACATAATCTGACTCTGGTCCTCCTAACAGCCATGGTTTGTCTGCTCATCTCCATAATCGTGCTGCATCTGGTCAGTTTGGCCATGCTCTTCACCGCCACTCTGGAGAAGGTGAGAGGTCTTCCCCTGACTTCCCACTAGAGGTCACTAACTAATCATGAAAAATTGAATACACATTTGAGAAACTCTCTTTCCAGTCCTGGTGGATTTGGACATACTCAGAAACCAGTGACCTCTGGCGTGACTGTTTCTACAATAACTCCACACAAGTCTGGGTGTGCGCCACTATAACAGAAAATGGTAAATAGTTCAAATATTCATCACATTCCCCTCATTAGATGTTGATTGAATCTAGGTTTCAGTTTTTTTTGTCTCACGTTTCTTCTGTCCTCTCAGACTGGCTGCAGTCTGTCCAGGCTCTCATGGTCCTCTCCGTGGTCTTCTCCTCTGTCTCCCTTCTGGTTTTCCTGGGTCAGTTGGTCATCCTGCCCAGAGGAAGCCTCTTCTACTTCACAGGCCTCTGTCAGGCCTTTGCAGGTTACTAGAATGCATTGTTTTTACTGCAAATTAAAGAAATGACGATATTATCAGTGATCTCAATTTAAAATGTCTGAGAAATGATCGATGAGGTCCTGGGTTTAAAACTGGACCTCTCTGTGTGGAGTTTATGTGCATGCATGGTTTTTTATTGGTCCAGTTTTCTCCCACAAGAAGAACATGCTCATGGGATTAACTGGCAACTCTAAACTGGCTCCTGTCCAGGTAAACCCTTCCAGTTTACTGGTGGGCCCTGCAAGGCCCTAGCTCTCTGCAGTCCTACAGAAAACAGAATGATGATCAAGGGTGGATTACAATGGCGCTTGAATCTGAAACATGGGATGCAAAGCCAAAATTGCATTAAATGTATGGTATTTAGGTTATGTCTTTTTATTTTTATTGTGCTGGATTTTTGCCTCATATTTTTAAGTTTATGTCTTATAGCTGCAACAGCAAATCTGCAAAGCAAGCTGGCGTTTAGCTCCAACACATCTGATTCAGTGGATGAATAACTGCTGATGTGTTTAACACTTATTCCCCTCTCTGTATGTAAAATAATTTGAGGCAGCATATTTCTGCCTAATGAAAAATACCTTAAACTTCTAAATCTGTCTGTGCTCATCAGTCTTTTTGTGTTTCCGCAGGTTTCACAGATTTTTCTGCTTGCCTCATCTTCAGCTACCACAAAAAAGAGATCTTGGGAGTCTCCAAGGATGTGAGCCAAGGACATTTTGGCAGCTGTTTCATCATGGCGTGGCTGTGCGTCCCTCTTCTTCATATCAGTGGAGTTTTGTACGTCCATCTGCGCAAAAAACAATGAGAAAGGGACATGATCAGCGAAAAAAAAAATTTAAGAGTGATCTTCTAATATTTATATAACGTCACAAAATGGCCTGAAATGACACCCACAGGTCAAGATCTACAGCCAGGTCAACTTAACCTGGCTATGACACTCACAGGAGACTGGAAGTCTGCACGTAGTCCCTTTAAATCAGAGTCTGCTTCCTCACTCCAGCTGGAATCAGAGCTGACAGAGAAAATAAAAGATAAACAATAACATTCTTTCCTCCAAGGTCCATCACAGAGAAACTCTTTTAAATGAACTCCTTTATTCCCAGAAGAAAAGAAGATTTTATAATTAAAAATAATCATTAAATGAATTTTTGTTATTGCTACTTATAGTAATTGTAAAAAAATGAAATGTTCATTGATCTGTGCTTAATGATATGCTCAGCAGGTTTACTGGAAGAGGTCATCACATGTGCACTCACACAAAGACAAAGTAAGTTAAGTTAACGCATGACACATAGTTAACCTTTTGCCCAGATTCATAGTCTCCGGATCAAAAGAGGGTGTCTCTGAGATGCTTGGTAATATTTTCAGACTTGTCAACTTTTGGTTGGCTAACCAAGATAACTTCAATCTATTATAACTAGTTTACTCTGGTTTTCCCTTAGTACAGTTCGAACAGTTCAACAGTTTGAGAGGTTTAGAAGAAATGCTTCAGACCGGCCATCTGAGCAAAGCCTCTTTTAACCAGCAGAGATTTAAACACATAGTCAAAACTTTTAAACCTTTTTCGCACCTGCGGAGCTGAGAACAACAACATAGTACCTGCAGTACAAAACTGACACTCCTTCAGAGTTCATTTTAAGACGCTCGGTTTCATCCATCTGTCGTGACCCGGGAGACATCTCTGGACTGAAAGTATTGGTATGTTGGTACTCTACAGCCCTCCGGTACCAGCGGTCATCCGACCCCTCTCACTTTCAGATCCACATGAGGGTCTCTGAATTCGGGTAATGTAGACACACAGATAGCACCTGAATGTGGTTTTGATAATAACAACTTTATAGCTTATTTGCAAACCAAATTCTTTCCATCCAGAACTCTTTCTGAGAAACGGAGATTATGACTCCATTACATCATATTCACACATGTTTCAGACACCAGCCTTTAGTTCGCATCCACTCACAGTAAATAACAGTTTAAACATTTTGTCAAGTCTTAATTGTTTGTAAAATAAATTCTTATTTTTCTTAAACCTGACTGTTTCTTGAATAAAAGTGAAGTGGGTACAATTCCTTAATGAATAAAAGAATCCTAGAATCTTCTGACTAAACAAATACAAACCAGGCAAGGTGATATTCTGTCGCAAGTGGTGTTAATAATAATAAATAGCTTAAATCAATTTACTTAACCCAATATACTACTTATTAACATTACATACACACACACACACACACACACACACACACACACACACACACACACACACACACACACACACACACACACACACACACACACATACCAAAGATGAAAGCACGATAAAAAATGATCAGATGTTGTTAGAACTTTCTTGTAATATTGTGTGGAGTCCAAATAGTTTTGTTATTGTATTTTAAAATGATCTTAGCCGTCATTCATTATTAACCACTTTTCGTGTTTACTAAAGATGGCTTATGATTGGTCATTCACTCATTTGTGCTATCCACTGTCTATCTTGATGCGAATTTTAAAAGCAGAGACGATCAAATAAATACAAGAAGTGCACGCTAGAGCGGTCAGGTGTCACAGATCACTTCCAAAAGGATTTCCTTGGAAATGAAAAAGAAACTTCTGTGATTTTATTCTGCGGGTTTTAAAAGGAAAGTCAGATTCTGATCGAAAGTAATCAACCAGTCAGGCTGGACCAGTCTGAAAGAGAAACGTTGAAGTAAGCCTGTCAGAAAAAATAATCAGGAAGACTGTCTTTAACCTCACACACACACATGTGCACGTACATTGGTGATGCTGGGCCTGCACAGGGGACTCATGGGGCAGCTCTGGTCTAAATGCTGTGTGAAAACCAGGGAGATGAATTAGGGTGTCAGCACCGCGGTGCAGTGTGTCAGCTGCTCTGAATGTCTGGAATCTGAGAACAATGTCTGCAAGAAGGAGTGGAAGAGTTCGAGGAGTGTGAACACAGAGGGGAGGGACAGATGACAAGCTCCTTTAACTAAAGCTGCTCAGGAGGTGAGTATCACTGCAGACTCAGAAAGAGGTGTTATTTACCTCTTTTTGTGGATTTTTAAAATTGTGTTTGGAACAAAGTGCTAGAGACTTTGAAGTGAACAATTTTTTTATCAGATGGGACTGAAGAGAAACAATCAAGACTGTTGACAACATCAAGATATGTGATGTACTCTGTACAGCTTGTAAGATGTCCTCCAGCTTTTTATCAGCAAGGACTGAAGTGAAACTGTCTGAACTTTTTGCAACATCAAGGTAACACTGGACTACCCTCTGCAACCTGGAATTAAAGGGACTTTTTCAGAAATGGATGCTAGAAAGAAACACTTTTACCTTGTTGATTTGTTAGCTTAAATACAGGAATTATTTTGTTAGCGGCAGCACTTATTCCCGGAGACGAGCACAAGCTGGGATCATGTCAAACTCCAGAGAGCAGAGTCTGGATGAGAATGTGGTTTTCCTACCAGTGGATGAATCCAATCCAGAGTTCCTCCACAGTGAGAGGGAGCGTGAGGCAGTGGAGAGACTCCTGAGTGAAGGCCCCGAGGCTTTCTACGGCTCCATCGGCTCTGAGCTATCCCGCTGCTTCTTATCTCCTGAGGAGGTGAACCAGATTAACAGCTGGGCTCAGAAATACCAGTTCAATCAGGTGGAAGAGCAGAACGGCGAGGAAAATAGCTGCGAGTCAGAGGATTTCTATTCCACCTACTCTCCGTGCAACTCGGACAAGCCGATCCCGGACCTGGACCTCGGCTGGCCGAACAGGTCCCCCTGGATGCTGGGCAATGGGAGTGTGGCGATCCACACAAGTCCCTCTATGGAGGGAACGCCGCCTGTCAGAGAGGTCATCAGATGGCACCTTCAAAATGCCCAAAAGGTGTGCACATATTAGATAACTGTTTTTTCTTCATCTAATCACATTTAATCTTCTACTTGGAATCAAAAAATTCCCATCCAAAACACATTTATTGTACAAATCTCATTTGTGTAACTAAAATTGTACAGAAGTGGATTTAAAGAGATAAAATCTCATCAGTGATCAACTTGCAATTTAAACATTATTGTACCTGATTTATATGTTTATTTGGGATCTAAGGGTGACGCACTTTGACCGCTTGTTTCAGAAATAGTTTCCCTAAAATTGAAAGATTCAAACAATGTCGTTTAGCCTGTTTTGTGTCACGGAGGACCAAAGAGTTCAAGATAAAGTAGCCACTACCTACCCTTCTAATCAGTGCATTTCAGCAGAAAATGTTACTTTAAAGGAGTAGTTCAAATGTTTTTGGGAACAATTCTGTGAAAATGTTATCAGTAAATATCTTACCTGTTGAAGATAGATCTCTGAAAAGCCTCAATATAAAGACGAACAAGCAGTTAGCCACAATAGTTAAAAGCTAGTTAAAAGTTAAAACATTTCCTAATGCAAACACTGCATTAAAACCTTAACGTTTCCATGTAGTCAGGCTTACAACAAGCAATTTTCAGGCCACTTTGAGATGATTTTCCACTTGTGCGACAATCCGAGTTCGAGCCAAGTTTTGTGTCGTGTGTCGAGAACCAATTAACACCAACTGGCAATCGTGCCGTTTTCCAAAAATCAAACACGTTAGAAATTGTGCTTGTCCCTCATAAGGGCATCGCTCTGTGCCAGCAGCGCTTGGTTTCTAGCAAGCCCCCACAATGCGGGTCTGAAATATGGTTTTTAGTCTCTGAACTTAGACCAGTAGTTGTAGCGTTTGTGTATTCTTTTTGGATATTATTGGTGCAATTGTTGGACAATTGCACCAATTTGGGCTTCCCAAAGTCTGCCAATCAGCGCTTTGGGCTTCCTGACAGGGTTGCGGAAGGCGCTTTATAAATAAAGCTTTGATTGATTGATTGACTGATTGACAAAATGACTTGCTGTGGTATTAATTTCACTAATAGAGCGTCCAAGGAGTCTCCACTTGATTTTTTTCGGTGAGTAAAATTATATTTATGTATTTTAGGTCACTGCCGCTTTTCCACTAGCTGAGCTTATCAAAGTAGCTAGCTAACTACCATTTTAACATGTACTGTTTAACCATGAAATTTAGATGTAATACAGAAAAATAATTAATAGGGTATATGTCGATGGGTGTAAAACCCAGTGCATTTAACATAAAATGGGTTGAAATATGACATGTTGGTGGAGTTCTCGGGGGGAGACTTCTGTGTTCCATTCTTCCACCCGGTTCTCCCCAGCGGTCAGCCCGGCGCATCTCTGACCGCTTCGGCGCCTGTCTGCTGCACGGGCTGACCGCTTGTGGAGCTCTCGGGCTCGGAGAGAGACCTGACCACAGAAATGCTGCAGCTCGGTGAGTTGGTTGATAGTGCTTGATGTTAGTCTCCAGAAGTCTGTATGCCATCAGATAAACTCGCTCGTTTTTTAATTTTTTGCATATTTGTAAAATAGTGGTGGTGGGGAGCGACTAAATAACTAATTTGTCCACAAAGAGCCGCGGCCAGGTGCCCTGTTCTCATGGGAACTAGTGCAGTTCAATAAAATGGAAATAATTTAACAAAATTGATTATTAAAAGGTTCATATCCTATCCAATAAGGCGATAGACTCAAGTGTTTCCTTTTTAATTTTTATTTTTTATAAAGTATGCATTTTGTATTACTCTTTATCCTAATTTTAGACCTTTTACTACAGGCCATGATTAGCTATTAAGTATTTTAAACCCATATGCTTAAGTAGTTCTTTGTATGATGTTTTCCTCTAGGTGAGCCAGAGAGGCTTGACCTTTGGGTAAGCAACCAAAGAAGAGAGTGCTGGAGTCCCGATTTACAGTCCCGCTTATGCAGTGAACACTTTGAGAGTCATCACTTCACCATGGACCCCAGGGTACAAACACATTACTTCATATTTTGGTTAAGATTAAAAAAAGTGAAGCATCAGCTGTATAATATACAGATGTTACATTGCTGTGTAACAAAAAAAAATTCCCCCTCTCTTGAACTGTCTGTGACTAGGCTGTTTAAATGGGGAAACAGTCACATTATTAATTTCCATATAATTCTATGGATATTTATTCTGATAAACAAATAAAAAATTTTGTCAGTCTTTAATGTGTAACTTTCTGTATTGGGATGAATGAAAAATATTAATTTTAAAGTAAAACATTAGGCATTTAAGGATAAATTAACAATAGTAAACATACTACTGGTGTCAAATAAATCAAACTGTAATTAAAATTTCTATTTTCAAAGTCTGGATTCTGGATAAAATCTAACAACATATGCTTTATAAATAACAAACACTCTCCACATGGCTTTTACACACACACACACACACACACACACACACACACACACACACACACACACACACACACACACACACACACACACACACACACACACACACACACACACACACACACACACACACACACACACACACACACACACACACACACACACACACACACACACACAGTGCTCTGGTGTACCAGTGGGTCTTTGAGATACAGATATTGACCTTGTCTGATGTGTGTGTGTGTGTGTGTGTGTGTGTGTGTGTGTGTGTGTGTGTGTGTGTGTGTGTGTGTGTGTGTGTGTGTGTGTGAATCTCTTTTATTTTATTTTATTTTATTTATTTTTTAGGGGAGTCTTTGCCTGAAGGACGCAGCTGTACCTACAAACTTCTCTTCCTTTAAGGTCAAAAAACATCTTCCAAGAAGGAAAGTACAGGTACTTAGGAATGACAAGGTAAGTGACAACCCCATTGGTTTTGTAGATAGTTTTGAGAAGGTTGCAGATGTAGATGCAGGGGAAGACAGTGTCATAAAAGTTGCTGTTGAGCAATATGATGATGTGTGAAGACTCACCTCAAGAGGTCTTTGTTACTCAAAATGTAACACATGATGACATTCGTCTGCAAGCAATTGAGTGTGATAATGCTCATTTTGGTCACAGTGTTCAACACCAGAATGACTCAGACTCTGGTCAGTTTAACACTGTGCCATTACAACCAAATAGCATCCTGAGTGACCATTGCTATCAAATCAGAGTCTCCCAAATCGCTTAAAAGGAGAGTTCTGTCACCAAATGAAAAGGTGCGTGTAGTTCAGAAAAAGCTTAGATTGCAATTCCAGAAGACAAGAAGATTGAAGGCAAGAATTTCTTCTTTGAAAAGTGTCACCAAAATTCTTCAGAAGACACTTCTAATATCAGCTGAATGTGCCTCTCTTCTTGATGGTTTGGATGGTGTTCCAAAATAGTTGTTTCAGAAAATAAATCAGAAGAAAAGATCATCTTTTTCTGAAAACTTGAAGCAATTTTCAACTACACTGCATTTTTACTCTCCTAAGGCTTATGACTATGCTAGAGAACTCAACTGTCCACCTTTGGCTAAATGGCAACATTTTTTCAGTCTGGCTAAAAGTCTGTTTAGTCTGTCTCATAATCATGACAGTTACGTCATATTGAACAGCAGTTGTCTTTGATTAATTTTAATGATTCTGTTTCAGGTGGAATTGCTGTGTGATTCCTGTGTCCTGTGGCCCATGACCTGTGTCAGCCTGGTTCTGGATGTGGCCTTGTTGACTTATCTGTAGTGAGATGCTCGGCTGTCTGGGGGGTGGTCTTAGTTGGTTATGTGCTCTGTGGTGGCTGCTGGTTTCCTGGTGCTTGGGGCGGTTCCAGAGTGCACCTGATCCTTGGAGGTCTCACACTTCACATCCCAGCACACACACGAACACATGCTTGTTGATGTTTGTTGTTCATGGTTTACATGTTTATAGTTGTTCATCCCACATTTTCTTGATGATTCTTAGGCATGTTTCTTTACAGGTACAGCAGCTGGTTGCTGTTTTTTATGTTGGTTTCCTAGTTGTTTTTATATTTCTCTCTTATTTACTTGTTTGTCCTCTATCAACCCTATTTATTCCAGATTGGTTCAGCATTTACATGCTAATGTGGCAATACATAACCTAAACCAATATTACAATAACATAAATTTTTATTCAAGGGGAACCTCGTACACAAAAGGCTCCTATTGATAGAGCAAATCTGTTCAGCACATTCTGACAGACAGACCACCATTCGTCTGTCATATTGCTTTACAGGACATTTTTAGAGTTTTTCTTTTTAAAGATAAACAGTGTTACATTTAAAGAGCAATACTTTCACATTATCATTTTCCCACACTTTCTGTATACCTGTATTTTGTTGTATTTCAATAAAGAATGAAAATTATTTAAGTTTATGAGTTTTTTGTAAAAAATATCTACAAATATCTACAAAGCTAAAATTGACAAAACAAGTATAATTGGGGTTTGCAATACGGCAGCCTCTAAGGTTTATTTTAGTAAGATTTTGAAACCAAGTAAAGTTAGTAAATAACACATTTCTATAGGGCTCCGGGAGTTGATGTCACTTCTCCCGGCATGCAACAGTTCAAATCGAAACAGCACCATATTGGCAGGCAGAAGCCCACAGCTGGACTATTTGTTATTGTCAGAAAACTGAATCAAACGGGAAATATGGTAGATTCCTGTTTTGCCCCAGGATGCCAGAACAGACGCAGACGACATAAGGGATGAGCCATCAACAGGATTCCCCAAGATCCGGAGCGCCGCAAACGTTGGATCATTATAATAAAACGCACTAGTGACCGGGCTGAAATGAAACTATAAGATCCAGAGAGTAAAGGTTTTCGCTAATGCAGCGACCACTTCATATCAGGTACTTAAACCAATGTTTCCTCTGTGTATGGTATTTACTTTAAATGCTTTTATTATGATTCTTAGTGGGCTTCCTAAACTTATTTTGGCGTGGCTTTTTCTGTCTTATTACTCATAGCAACAAGTAAACATCACGTAAAACATTGCCTCGTGAGTTCTGCGTGCTGCCATTTACGTGTTTTATGATCACAGCAATTAACCGGCTAAGGTGTATTTAATTTTTAAGCAATGGTTGATCAATTGTCAGATCACAAATAAAAAGCACTTTGGATTGCTATTTTCTGTCTCACCGAGACAGATCTCAGACAGATCCTGAGATGCTCCTGCCTGACATATTTATTTTATTCATGGAAAAAAATCAAACTAGAGATTTCTCTTGGCGTTCATTTTATACATTCAAACAGCACAGCACTCTATTTAAACTACTTACGTGTAAATCTGTTATTTGTCCATCCATCCATTTTCATCCGCTTATCCGGAGTCGGGTTACGGGGGCAGTAGCATCGAGAGGCCCAGACATCCCTCTCCCCAGCCACTTGGGCCAGCTCCTCCGAGGGAATCCCAAGGGGTTCCCTGGCCAGGTCCGGTAAGAAGTCCGCTCCGACAGCTTCTGCCGTTTTTAAAAAGTATCCCGGGGGCACGGTAAGGGTCGGAGATGTTTAGTCTATTTAAATTCTGACTATATAAAACGATTTCTTCGGTTTTAAAGTGTGAAGTAAACTCCGACGAAGTAAAATCCAAGCCGATCCTGTTCAATTCGTTTACATTTGTTGCCTGCCAACATGGCGTCTATTCTCTGAGAGTCACGTGACGTCCGGAGCTCTATAGGCTGCTAAGAAACTGTTGGACTTAAAATGGGCCTGTTGTAGAAACATCTTGACATAAATGATTCTTCCCTCCTTTTGCTCACCCTTAATTCGTTACATTGTCTTAACCAAAGAAATTCCAGTTATTGAGAAAAAACATTTATTTTTTTACATCACATTTTATAAAACAACAGGACACAATGTTTATGTTTATTTATTTGGCAGACGCTTTTATCCAAAGCGACTTACAATTTATAACCTATAGGGCATGTTGTGATCTGAGGGGGAAACCGGAGTACCCGGAGGAAACCCACGCATGCATGGGGAGAACACGCAAATCCACGCAGAAAGGCCTCAGCCGAGTTTTGAACCTGCAACCTTTGTGATGTGAGGCAACAGTGCTAACAACTGCACCACCACGCAGCCCAGACACAAAGTGTTGGTACATTTAAAAAAAATTTAAATAATAAAAGGGGCCCAGAGAGCTGCAGAGTGAGTGGAACATTGGGTTGTGAAGGAAGAACAGAATTGTCAACAGTGTTATGGCTATAGATAAATTATATCAACAACACATTAGCTATAACAGTCAGGGATATGTTTATCCTGTTTGCCTGAAAATAAATCTGTCCTAAAGGCAAAATTCAAAAGCAGTGAGACTCCCACCTGGAAGTCTTCACTGCTTTTGGAGCTGGCCATTAAGACAGTCAGCAATATTAGTTAAAAAAATATAATTTCCCCTATTTTTGAAATGAACTTTGTCTGACAAAAATGTCCCTGGACTGTCATGTCTGATGTGAGGATGCACAACAACTGCACTATTTAAGCTAGAAATAAGTGTAGCCATAACACTGTTAACAAACCTCCTGGCTTTCTCAATTTTAGCAGGTTTTACACCTGCCCTCCATCTACCATGATGATCATCATATGAGGGCGTAGAAGGTGAAGCCGGTGCAGGTCCTCCTTCATCATGTTGACCAGCTTCACACTGCTGACCACCCCCATGTCACTGCCGCCACAGTGGATGAGAAGTACATCAGGAGCTCCTCTTCCTCACAGGAAGTGGAAAAAGAAGGGGAGAAGGTCTTTCCACCTCAGTCCGCCCCAACCGAACCAGGAGGCACGGACGTCAGAGAGGCCAAGGTTGTCTCGAGGGTCTCTGCAGCTCTCTGGGCACCACGCCTCACATAGCTGTCTCCAATGATCCAAATGGCCTTGGAGAAAAAAAATAACAGGTTTGGCCAAGCTGTTTAAAGTACAAAACCATACATGAAGTGGTCAAGACAGGTACTTGGTACTTAAACTTGCTGCTTTGTGTAGCCGACGTTGAAGACACACAGGCTGCCATGGTGACGTTTTAACAGATCTAAGAAAAAAATGTAATAAAAGAATGAAACTTAAAAACTCCCAGACCTCATTTCATGATTGCTAATCAGCTATGGCTGATTTGTTGTTTGGATCACAGTGAGTTACACTAATTCTAATATATTTTATTTCTATTATACGTACACACTTTTTAATTATTATTTTCACATGACTGTTATCAGGCTCTCTTGTTCTGGTTCTCATGATAATTCTGTTTCTTCCAGTAAGTTATCTTGTTCTTATTTCATCTGTATAATGTCTCTTTACTTTTGGTGAATTCGTACTGAGTCCAGAATAAAGGCTACTTGGCTTTACAAGATACAAACAAGTATTAAGTTTAAGAAATATATGAAATGTATTTAGCCTGCTAATTTATCTCACATACCGTATTTTCCGGACTATAAGTCGCACTTTTGTTCATAGTCTGGTCGGTCCTATGACTTATATTCCGGAGTGACTTATATACCAAATTATGCAGGCTATACCGTGCTGCTGGGGGCCGGCTCCAGACCAGGAATGAGCTCCCCTGACCCGCGGGGAACTAAAAACAGACAGCCATCACCTGCTGGACACTGTGGCGCACAGCTGCGGGCTGGATCTGACCCAGGTTTCAGTTCACCTGACCCACAGGGAATTAAAAACACACAGCCATCACCTGCCGGAGCCTGTTGCGCGCCGTTGCGCACTGGATCCGGCCTAGGTATCAGCTCTTCTGCCCCACCATCACCTGCTGCAGCCTGTGGTGCGCTGCTGCGGGCTGGCTCCGACCCAGGATTGAGCTCCCCTGTCCCACTGGGAGGGTTTCAAACACTGCCATCCTCTGCTGGAGACCGTGGCGCGCTGCTGCGCCCGCGTTGTTTATGCTGCTATTGTTACCGGTACTTGTCTTGCAATGTGAAACACTTGGTATCAGATTTTGTAGGAAAAATAATAAAATCCCCCCCAAAATGCGACTTATAGTCAAGTGTGACTTATATATGTTTTTTTCTTCTTCATTATTCATTTTATGGCTGGTGTAATTCATACTCCAGAGCGACTTATAGTCCGAAAACTATGGTACGTTAAAAATATTGAAAACTTGCTCAAAGCAAAATATATTTTCATTAAGGAAATACCGTAAACTTACCGATTTAAGACTTTTTGATTCACAGAAAGATAGTTTTCATGAAAAAGCGCCACAAACCTCCACACAAACTCTGTGTGAGCTTCAGGTCACTGGTGTTCCACAGAGTTAGCTAAGGTTGTAGCTAGGTAGCTACCTCCATTAGCTTAGCTCCCACCTCTGCGTTAGCTTTGGGTTAGCTTCAGGTTAGCTTGTAGCTAATTCCACCGGGTGTCGTAATTTGGATCCAGCCTTACAGCCCCACCCTCAGCTCCACCTCTCGTCCCTTTTGTGGAATTGTCTGGGCTTGACGGAACCTGTGACACGGTCAAAATGGCGGTGGTGGCCACCTCCCATTTTTCCTCAAAAACGTGTTATTGGAGTCTATGGAAACCCATTGTCCATATATACATATATATATATATATATATATATATATATGTATATATATATATATATATATATATATATATATATATATATATACACACACACATACCGGTATATGTCGATGGTCTTTAGGTCTTTAGTTTACTCCACGTACAACGGCAACGATTGTAAAAAAAAAAAAAAAAAAACATATTTGCTGTGTCTATAATAAACACAATGCCCCCAATGCCCGCTCACCACAGCCATGGAATATACCTCATCAACACTCACTAACACCATATTGGAGCAGGCGGAGGGAGACTAGGGGTCTTAGCACACCTCTTTTGTCACTTGGCTTCCTGGGGCTGGAGGCTAGGAGGGAGATCCGGCTGTCCGGTTGGGGTCTGGGGTGGTGGGTTGCTGTGCTCAGCGTTGGGCAGGGGAGCCTGCTCATCAGTACCCCAGCAGAAAGGGTCGAACTCTGGGAACCAGTAATGGTTGTACCCCATGTGCAGCAGTACCGGGACCAGAATGAATAGGGTGTGTATGGAGAGCATGAGTGGGTGTCCGGCGTGCATTTTTGTAAGTTTTTGGTTGTGTGTGTATGTGTGAGCATGAGGGAGGGAGTGTATGACTGTGTTTGTGTATGACTGTATATATCAGGTTGGGCCTTTAACTCCTCCCTTCTCCTGGGACTTCTTTTGATGATATAGATTTTCGTCTCCCCTCTCCCGCCACACCTGATGTGGAGTGCGGTGCCTTGGTCTGCCTGAATGTTCGTGGCTCCCGGATCTGGGGGTTTAAGATTTTTGGCGTCTGCCTGATCAATCCCGGTGGCTGCCTGGTGGGGTCTGGGTCCCTGGGCTCTGCCGAGTCCCCGGCGGGGGTGGTCGCCCCTGGGTCCCGGGTCATTGGGTCTCGGGCTCGGTCGGCTAGGGGGTGGGAGGCTGCGGGCGGGCCTGTGGACTTGCCGCCGATATCTCCCAGGAATCTGCCGGCTGCTGGTTGTGGCCCCCCGGGGCGATCCTCTGCGCCTCTCGAGGGGGGCGGGGGCTTTTCTGGTCGTAGTCTCCCTGGGGTTCCTGTGTTCTGGGGCAGCTCCTGGATCTCTGGGACTTGGAGCTCCCTCCGTCTCCTGCACATCTTTGGGGGGCAGATCTGTGGCCCCTCACACTCTCTATTGGACGCTCCTATAGGGAAACCTTACATAAACAAGTGCATGTACACATAGGTGCTCACATGGTGCTCTCATAAGTATGGACTTGGGCACGTTCAACACATGTCTTAAGGCTATGGTGGGCACTTAATGTACTGTGATTTATTATTGTGTGATTGTTCAGTTACACAATGTTGATTTTATATTTCTTCATCAAGTTGACGCAGTGATATCTTGATCTTGTTGTATTTTTGTTGTGTCCTTTTGTCCCTTTTTATTCTTTCTTTTTTTTCTTCTCTCTTTCTGCAGGTCTAGAAGCAGACTCTTGTTCATAATTGTTGATTTTTGTCAACACCCCCCCCCCCACCACCACCACCACCACCACCACCACCACCACCACTACCACCTTTTGTCTCTTCCTTTCTCTTTCACCTCTGTCTCCATGTCTGGTCGGAATTAAAAAGCATTCAAAAACAATAACAATAAAGTTTCAAGTATCAGGCGTGACATTAGAAGCAGACGCTTTCATGCTCCACCTCAGAGTAAATATGTAAGGCTTGTCACCAGCATTCAGACATCAAGTCTTTTTGCTTTACAGCCAGACAGGGCACACACAAAATAAATAAATAAATAAATACAGTAAACGCTAAATGGACTGCATATATTCTTATAGCACCTTCTAATGGCGTCTTCAAATCTGGTCTGACCCGGTTTTAGTAGCATCGGCCTGCCCCGCGCGACCAGGTTTTGTCACACAGCCTTCTCAGGAGAGCGGATGTCCCCGAGCATGTGGGCAGGGCTAAAAGATGCGCGGAGAAGTCTGTGTTGTTTTCTTTCCATTAGTAAACAAAGGCAGCCTTGAGCAGTGTTACTATTGGAGACTCGGATATCAAGCACATGGCCCCCCACTTGAGCGTGACAGTAGTCTGTCCTCGTACTGCCGCAGCTGGAGCGTGGTTCTGAGCAGCAGTCAGAGGAGATGTTTACCCCACCGCATCCAGACAATGGATTGTACAGTACATGCAGGAAGCCGTCGCTGGCTGATTCTACCCACCAATCAGAGGCACACTCTATAGGTAGGCATGAACTTCAGTCAGCCAATCAATGAGTAATGGGTGTGTCGGGTTGGCTTTGCACAAAGCGGACCGCTGGAGAGCATGGAAAATGAACATATTACCCAGATGTGAACTTAATTAACCTACCAGGGATGGGCTGTGCCCACCCAGATGTGAAAGCCCCATTGCATTCTACAACCCCCAAGGTGCTTCACAACACAATCAGTCATTCACCCAACCACACACACAAATTCACACACTGGTGGTGATGAGCTACAGTGTAGCCACTGCTACCCTGGGACAGACTGACCGAAGCAAGACTGCCAAACGTTGGCGCTACCAGTCCTTCCGACCTTCACCAGCAGGCAAGGTGGATGAAGTGTCTTGCCCAAGGAAACAAAGTATGCAACAGATTGATTGGGACATGATCCTGCAACCCTCCAGCAATGGGGCAGGCAGTCAGCTACTCTGCCACCATCTCCACCAAAACCAAGTTGTGAAGTTTGAGAAGGAGCTGAACACTATGACTGAAAAAGTTGCACAGTGGATGTCCAGGGGGTTTCAAGTATCCACATTTCACATTAGTTTTTAACATTTCTGGTCACTAGACGAGACCAAAAGCACCTTGGGGGTTCCAGGACTCTCAATTACAGACCATTTACCATTTACACCTCATTAAAATAAAAATAACACAACATTCTACCTCATGTCAATAAAAATGAGTAGAAACTATGGATGGAGCCAAACTGCCTAATGAAAAGATAAAAGGGGAATGCCCCCACCCCCACCGTAAAAGTATATCCATGGCCCAGTTTAAATATCCCCTTTCACGGATTTCTGTTCAAATTTAAAAATTCCAGCCAAAACAAATATCTTTGTAACTTCATCTACCCATTTCTGAAGCAAATTTGCCACAGAATTTCAAATTAAAACCTCCCAAGCAACTAAATCAGTTTATAAATTTGCATTTTGCCTGAACCGCTATTGCATTTATGAATTTAGAGTGTTTTAAGATGGCATAACCACTTTTTAACCGGTTCCATCTACACTAGCTGTTAGCTTATCTAAATAACCTCTGTTTCTCCAAATGGAGGTTGTTCAAAGATCTTATAACAGGTAAGATACTTACTGATCACAAATGTTTGGTTCCTATCTGAACAGCTTTTGCTAACAAACAGACAGTAGAAAGTTTTGTCATTTTCTCTGAGACTCTTTGTATGTGTGCAGGTAATTGCCATAGTGGCAGACAAGCTGACAGACAATGTGATAATCAGCGATCTACACGCCCGTGCCTCCCGAGGTGTCCCTGTCTATATCATCCTGAACCAAAGGTCTCTTCAGGAGAATTTCACTCTGAACAAGCTCAGGCATCCGGTGAGTCTCCACCCACAGATCAGCAGACACACACCTCACAGTCTCTAATGATCCTTTAACAAAGTTCACCGAAGCTGTGGAAAGAATAACTGCGTCAACTTGCAGCTCGTCTAAGGAATGCAAAATGTTGATTTGGCCTCTGCAGAACAAACTGGTTGCACAACATTCCGCTTTGTCTATGCTTCCCTGCAAGTGATGATAAAACTGTCTGATTTTGACAAGAGACTCGCAAAACAGGTGAATCTCAGAGATTCTCATAAATGTGTTGCTATGGTTAAACACCAGATGCACTGACACCCTTTTATGGGTTTTTGGTAAACATAGTGATCTGATGTGTAGTGGTTTACAGTTTATGCAAGATTAATCAGGATTAATAGCAGTAAGAGGATGCAATTTCTTTAATTATAAAAAAAAGTCATCACTGATCAACGTTTTTCTATTTAAAAACAAAAATCCTCTTATTCAACCTGACTTCTCATTCTTGATTTACTTGCACACATTTTCCAATCCTCCTTGTGTCCTTATCGTGGTCGAGGAGTTTGAGTTTGAGTGCCCTAATGATCCTAGGAGCTATGTTGTCTGGGTAGGGTCTCCCATGACAAATGGGTCTTAGGTGAAGGGTGAGACAAAGAACGGTTCACAGGATCTTTCATGGACGTAAAAACAAAGAGTCGGAGTACCCGGCCCGGAGGGTTACCGGGGTCCCACCCTGGAGCCAGGCCTGGGGTTGGGGCCCGTGAGCGAGCGCCTGGTGGCTGGGCTTTCGCCCATAGGGCCTGGCCGGGCCCAGCCCGAACCGGATACGTGGGCTCATCCAACTGTGGGCCCACCACCCGCAAGAGGAACATGAAGGGTCCGGTGCAGTGTGGATTGGGTGGCAGACCGAGGCGGGAGCCTTGGTGGTCCGATCCCCGGACAAGGAAACTGGTTTTTGGGACATGGAACGTCACCTCGCTGGCGGGGAAGGAGCAGGAGCTTGTGGCAGAGGTTGAGCAGTACCGGCTAGATATAGTCGGACTCACCTCGACACATAGCATTGGCTCTGGAACCCAAGTCCTTGAGAGGGGTTGGACACTCTCCTTTGCTGGAGTTGCTCCAGGTGAGAGGCGGAGGGCTGGGGTTGGCTTTTTGTTAGCCCCAAGACTCTCTGCCTGTGTGTTGGGATTTACCCCGGGGGACGAGAGGGTAGCTTCCCTGCGCCTTCGGGTCGGTAAAGGAGCCAGTCGAGGTGGTTTGGGCATCTGGTCAGGATGCCTCCTGAACGCCTCCCTGGGGAGGTGTTTCGGGCATGTCCTGCCAGCAGGAGGCCCCCGGGTCGACCCAGGACACGTTGGAGAGGTTACATCTCCAATCTGGTCTGGGAACGCCTTGGGGTCATGCCGGAGGAACTGGTGGAGGTGGCCGGGGAGAGGACGGTCTGGAGCTCCCTATTGGGATGCTGCCCCCGCAACCCGGACCCGGATAAGCGGAGGAAGACGACGAGGACGACGAGGACGACGATATTTTCCAATCACAAAGTACATAAATAATCTGGGAGGTTAACTGCTTAAATTCATTATTTTTCAAATAATCAAAAATACCTTTGTTGACAGATTTTTAAAGCTAATAAGTTTTATTTATGTCTATTTGATTCATGTTTTATATTCATCTTGTTTAAAGTCTTATCTTTATATTTTTGACCTTTTATTTGAACCGTCGGTGTCGTAGACATGTTCCTGGTTCCCAGTCCTGTTTCTGACTGTGTTTTGATAATTTTGGTCCATGTTTTATTTCCTTTTCCTAACAAGTCTGGTTTATTTGCCTGATGGTTTTGTATGCAGTTGTGTTTTACTCGTGTCTCACAAGCAACAGGCTATTCTGGGTCCTGCTTTTCTCGTTTTCCATGCACAAAACAAGACTTTAACCTAATATGGACACTTTTACACAAACCGACACAAGATATTCACAGTTCATGCACAACATTTAATCTCTGTTATATGTGAGACTTAATGACCAATCTAAGTTTGTCACCAGATTGTGAAATCTGACCAGATTTACTAGATAAATAATTTTAAACCTTCTAAAGATGCATCTCAAGTCAGTTAAACCTTATTTTTAAATAATCTGCATGTGTTTTGCTTATCTTTGCTGAATGAGCAGTATCAGTTTTTTCATTAGAAACTTTTTTTTTTGCACAAACAGATAACTCCATAAAAAAGGCATCTTTTCCAGTCAACATAACATTTAGAAATGTTGATAAAAATGGCTTTTATCTGGTTTTTGTAAATTATTTCTTCATTTTTATTTAAATGTTGTTCAGCTTGAGTAAATTCAAGCAGGAAACTGATGTCAGCTGGTAGTTTTCTTTTTGTCTTCCATAGAATCTTATCAGGATTGTGTCCTAGATTATTATCATACTTTAATATTTACAGTCTGCCAAGTTTCCATGGAAACAAATTCTTCTCTAGTCATTTTTTTTAACTTCCTTAAACGTAGTTTGTTAAAACATCAATTTGTTTCCGTCTCGGCTTGATCTTGCTGGTGTAGGAATTAGGAATTGTCAGATTATTAATGCTTGTTAGTTGTTTGAAAGGTTGAGTGAGTGAAAAAAATCTGCTGCAATATTTTTAGAGCAACAGTCACTCTCAGGTCTCAGTAGATGGACATAATAGTTTGGATACTGTGCACATTTTTACCTGATCTTTTAGTATTTTTGGTGTTTTTTCCATGCATGGTTTCGTATTTTTGCTTCTTCCTTGTGTTTGGTTTCACACCCTTGTTATTATGTGTTTCATCATATTTTTGCAACCTCATTAATATTTTTGTGGTGCGCTATGACCTCAGTTTGATCGGCTTGTTGGAGTCCACTTCCCTCTGTTTTGTTGTTATTATTACTATTATTTATTTATCACTATTTATTTTTTAATAACGTTAGTTATTATTTGTCTGACTTTGCTAGCATTGCAAAACTAATTACCATCAAAGTTTATTTTGAAAGCAGATATTTCTCTGTCAGAGGAAACAGTGTTTTCTGTAAGTGTGATGTCACAGATTCTTGACCTGGGCATCTCAAATAACACAGCGCTCACACGATGCCAGAACAAACACCAAACGTCTGAAATTCTGTTTCGTTTTTGTTTTTCTGACAGAACATGCGGGTCAGACTTCTCAGGGGGAAAACGTTTTGCTCCAGAACAGGAAGAATGGTGGTTGGGGAAATGAGGAGCAACTTCCTCCTGCTGGATTTAGAGACAGTGATTCACGGCAGCTACAAGTAAACAGATACATGCATGTACTAAAACTGACCTCAGTCCTCAGTCTGACCCAGACTTGACCTGACAAGGTTTGGTTGAACTTTGCAGCCTCACATGGATGGACGCCCACCTCCACCGGCAGCTCATCACCGTTCTGAGAGGACCAGTTGTAGATCAGTTCGACCAGGAGTTCAGGGTCCTGTTTGCTGCTTCTGTCCCAGCCCCTGACTTATGGAGGGTGTCAGGGGCTGACATGACAGCAAAGTCCCCTCATCAGACCACAGACTTCTCCGATTTCAGGTATCAAAGGTCTGAGCAGCCTGAGATTACAAACCCTCCATCACCACCTGCAGATGCCTTCTTGGACTGGGAGGCAATGGGGGTCATCCATAAAGACAGCAGGATCCACGACAGTCCTCTGGACCTGAGCAAGGAACATAATAAAAGTGAAGGCACCATGGACAGAGATGTCTACACCAGCCACCTAACTGGAGAGAAGATGAGGTAAAAACATGACTTAGCACGTTCTTAGGGTTCCACAGACCCCCAAGGTGCTTCACAATGCAATCATTCATTCATTTTTTTCACACACACATTCACACACTAGTGTGTGAATGGAATCTTGTGTTAAGATGTAGCCACAGCTGCCCTGCAGCGCACTGAAAGAGGCGAGGCTGCCATTCACTGGCTCCACTGGTTCCTCTGACCACCACCAGCAGGCAAGGCGGGTTAAGCCGGTATCAAACCTGCAACCTTCCAATTACTGGACAACCCGCTCTACCTCCTATTTTACAGGAATTCAAAATATAAATGTTTGCAAAGTTTAGCATTAAAATCCACAGACTCCACAACAGATTACAAGAGTTCAGGAAGTATTTATTGATTTATTTTTCAACAGGATTAATGAAAACGCATCTGCAGAGAAGCCCAGGCTGTCAGATAATTCAGTAACTTTCAGGTGAGTCGTGTCACTGTGACTGCCATCATTGATAATTAAGGACATAATCACTCCTTTTATGAGCATATTGAATACATTCTCTTATTTTCTACAATAGCGCTGCGTCATCCTCATCAAACATATCAGCTACTGAAAGAATATTAAGGTAATGTGGAAAAAATCTAATAAAATCTGTTATTCATAAACATCCAGATGTTACATCGATAATGAAACCGGTTTGTTGTGCAGGTTGGAGAGAAAAGTAGAAAAGCAAATTTTCTGTGAGCTCGCTGCAGAACATGGCACTAATTTACACGAGAGCATCAGAACAAAAGCGGATAAAGCCGAGCCGGTTTACCCTCCAGCTGGCAGGAAGCAGCTCTTAAGCTCCGTGAATGAAGTCACCACTGAGGAGAACAAGCCAGCTTCAAGAGTGAGTGATGAGCTTTTGGCTTTCAGAGATCTGAAAGATTAACTCAGAGCTGCAGAAGAAACTCAGATTTTGTCTCCTCTTTTTCAGAAACCCTTAATTCTGAAAGTTCCAGGCTCTGAGGACTTCAGCTCTGTGAGCGACATCATGAGGAGGATGAAACTGGGAACAACAGACCTGCTCAGGAGAGGAAAAGGTTCTACAATGTCAGAGCGGACCCAGTCCATGATGGACCTGATGGATCCCAGCTCTGGTTTAGGTTACAAAGGACAACAGGAGCGCTCGGTGCCGAGGTTCCAGGGCAACGTGAGTGTCAACTGCTTGTCACTTCTTCTCTTTTGTGCCAGAGTTTCAATATCAATTTAAACGCCATGATGGTTCTTTAGCAGCGTGAAGACGTTTAATTTAGGGTGAAATCATGAAAAAGACTTTTAGAAGAAAACAAACCGTTTTTCATTGGAACTTTGTTGTAAAGATCAACTGTCTCTGTTTTATTTACTTCATTAAGATTTTTATTCAACTTGAGGAGTTTAAATACGTACATTTTGTGTTGGAAATCTCAAATCATAGACAAGTTTTATTAAAATAAGTTACAAATTCACTAATATAAACTTATGAGAGAGGGAAAGAGAGAGTGAGAGGGAGGAAGGAAGGGAGATAGAGAGATAGACTGAGAGAGAGAGGGAGAGAGAGAGAGAAAGAGACATAGAGACAGACAGACAGACAGAGAGAGAGAGAGAGAGAGAGAGAGAGAGAGAGAGAGAGAGAGAGAGAGAGAGAGAGAGAGAGAGAGAGAGAGAGAGAGAGAGAGAGATGTTACCATCTGAATATTCTGTTGTTTTCCAGCTGGACCCAGATCACATGACTCCTGCTTTGGCTTTGATGACGAAGAGGAACAATGAATCCCTTTCTTACCTAAACCGACCCCCTAAACTTTTCCCTCATTTAAGACCCCAAAACTCCACTAATGACCACATTAACCGGCGGTGGTCCCTAGCAGAAGTGAAGGAGTATAAATGATGAGCGAGGACATTGGGGACTTTCTGCAGCTGCACTCAGCTGACTCATATTTATGTAGAAAAAAATTGCTGTAAATAACTTACAATTCTGACAGTGATCACTATTGAACTTGTTAGCTGTTTAAATGATGGAAAACTGTGAATGTTTTTTTCTTTTTTGTGTGAAATAAAGTTGGAGAATGGAGGTCAATTAAAGATTTTTAAAAGTTAGTCAACAACAAATTGAGTGGAATAAACACTTTCAGTTGGAAGCCAACATTAAATAATCAGATGTAATGTCAAAATCACTGAAAATCCAAGAAAACACGAATCTTGTTGTTAGTCAAGAGGATAAATGAGCTTAAAGTCAAACCATAAAGGCGACCAAGTCAAATACATGCTACAAAATATTTTTATATGAACAAATCCCCAAAGTTAAACAAGCATGTTTTTAAAGGTGCTGATCACTCGTTTAATGAACATTTGCAGTGCTCTCTAGTAGGAATGAATGTCTTGCAAGTCGTCCTCGGAGGAAAAATAACCCAGAACCCCCTGGATCAGCACGGACAAGGCCCAATCCCAATACTTGCACTGCACCCTACCCTTCTATGAAGTGTGTATAAAGCTTTTGTGTAAGGCAAGAGCGTGGTACACAGGTGTGCAAATAATTGCCAAATTGGGACAGGGAGCATTGCGTCATCGACCACAACACATGCCGCGATGCTGGTCGCGGTGCAACTTTTTTTTTAAACTTTGACAACTTTTAAATGTAGCTCATCCCCACCCGTGTGTGAGTGTGTGTATAAGTGGATGACTGATTGTGTTGTGAAGGTGCTATACAAATACAAGCCATTTACCTTACATCCATACATCCGTTTTCTTCACCCGCTCATCCTCACAGGGTTGCGGGGGTCTGGTGCATATCTCCAGCAGTCTTCGGGCATGCAGGCGAGGTACAACCTGGACAGGTTGCCAGTCCATCGCAGTGCAACACAGGACAAACAATCAAGCGCACACACACACACACACACACACACACACACACACACACACACACACACACACACACACCTAAGGACAATTTAGAGAGACCAATTTCCCGTACGGTCATGTTTTTGGACTGTGGGAGGAAACCGGAGTACCCGGAGAGATCCCACGCATGCACAAGGAGAACATGCAAACTCCATGCAGAAAGTCCCCAGTTTGGGATTTGAACCCAGGATCTTCTTGCTGCAAGGCAACAGCGTTAACCACTGCACCACTGTGCAGCCCTTTGCCATTTACAAAACAATTGTTTGAAGTAAATTTACATTCACTGCAGCTCTGCCCAAAAGCATCAACTAATCGTTCTAAAATGATTTACAAAAAAAATACATATTTTCAGAAAAGGCACTTGAGCCTTTTTTTCCCCCGGCAATGAATTGTGAGTACTACCCGTCACTCCTCCTTAAACCGTCACCTTATCGTGGTGGAGGAGTTTGAGTGCCCTAATGATCCTAGGGGCGATGTTGTCTGGGGCACTTTGTGCCCCTGGTAGGGTCTCCCATGACAAATTGGTCTTAGGTGAAGGGTGAGACAAAGAACGGTTCACAGGATCTTTCATGGATGTAAATTCAAAGAGTCGGAGTACCCGGCCCGTAGGGTTACCGGGGTCCCACCCTGGAGCCAGGCCTGGGGTTGGGGCCCGTGAGCGAGTGCCTGGTGGCCAGGCTTTTATTCATGGGGGCTGGCCGGGCCCAGCCCGAACCGGATACGTGGGCTCATCCAACTGTGGACCCACCACCCGCAGGAGGAACATGAAGGGTCCGGTGCAATGTGGACTGGGTGGCAGACCAAGGCGGGAGCCTTGGCGGTCCGATCTCCGGACAAGAAAACAGGTTTTTGGGACATGGAATGTCACCTCACTGGTGGGGAAGGAGCAGGAGCTTGTGGCAGAGGTTGAGCAGTACCGGCTAGATATAGTCGGACTCACCTCGACACATAGCATTGGCTCTGGAACCCAAGTCCTTGAGAGGGTTTGGACACTCTCCTTTGCTGGAGTTGCTCCAGGTGAGAGGCGGAGGACTGGGGTTGGCTTTTTGTTAGCCCAAGACTCTCTGCCTGTGTGTTGGGGTTTACCCCGGGGGACGAGAGGGTAGCTTCCCTGCGCCTTCGGGTCCGGGAACGGGTCCTGACTGTTGTTTGTGCTTATGGGCCAAATATCAGTTCAGAGTACCCACCCTTTTTGGAGCCCCTGGGACGAGTGCTTGATAGTGCTCCATCAAGGGACTCCATTGTCCTGCTGGGGGACTTCAATGCTCACGTGGGCAATGAAAGCTTGACCAGGAAGGGTGTGATTGGGAGGAACGGCCCGCCTGATCTGAACTCAAGTGGTGTTTCGTTATTGGACTTCTGTGCAAGCCGCAGTTTGGCCATAACGAACACCATGTTCGAACATAAGGATGCCCATCGGTACACTTGGTACCAGGGCAACCTAGGTCGCGGTCGATGATAGACTTTGTAGTCGTATCATCTGATCTGCGGCTGTATGTTTTGGACACCCGAGTGAAGAGAGGAGCGGAGCTGTCAACTGATCACCACCTGGTGGTGAGTTGGATCAGATGGCAGGGGAAGATGCCGCGTAGATTTGGCAGACCCAAACGCATAGTGAGGGTCTGCTGGGAACACCTGGCAGAATAACCTGTTAACACAGTCTTCAACTCCCACCTCCGGCAGAGCTTTGACCGCGTCCCGAGAGCAGTGGGGGACATTTACTCCAAGTGGGCCTTGTTCCACTCTGCAATTGTTGAGGCAGCTGTTGCTAGCTGTGGTCGCAAGGTGGCCGGTGCCAGTCGTGGTGGCAACCCCCGTACCCGCTGGTGGACACCAGAGCTTCAGGGAGCCGTCAGGCTGAAGGAGGAGGCCTACAGGTCGTGGCTGGTCTGTGGGTATCCGGAGGCAGCAGACAAGTACTGGATAGCCAAGTGGGGTGCAGCAGTGGCAGTTGCCGAGGCAAAATCTCGGGCATGGGAGGAGTTTGGTGAGGCCATGGAGAAAGACTATCGATTGGCTCCAAAGAGGTTCTGGCAAACTGTCCGCCGCCTCAGGAGAGGAAGGCAGCAACTCGCTCACACTGTTTACAGCGGGGATGGGGAGCTGCTGACGTCAACTGGGGCTATAGTCGGACGGTGGAAGGAATACTTTGAGGAGCTCCTCAATCCCACCTATGCACATTCCGAGGAGGAACCAGAGCCGGGAGACCTGGGGATGGACTGTCCAATCTCGGGGGCAGAAGTTGCTGAGGTAGTCAAACAACTACACAGCGGCGGAGTCCCGGGGGCGGAAGAGGTTCGTCCTGGGTATCTCAAGGCTATGGATGTTGTAGGGCTGTCGTGGTTGACACGTCTCTGCAACATTGCGTGGTCATCGGGGACAGTTCCTGTGGAGTGGCAGACCGGGGTGGTGGTCCCCATCTTTAAGAAGGGTGACCTGAGGGTGTGTTCCAACTATAGGGGGATCACACTCCTCAGCCTCCCTGGAAAGGTCTACTCCAAGGTACTGGAGAGGAGGGTCCGATCGATAGTTGAATCTCAGATTGAGGAGGAGCAATGTGGTTTTCGTCCTGGCCGTGGAACTGTGGACCAGCTCTATACCCTTGCAAGGGTGATGGAGGGGTCATGGGAGTTTGCCTAACCAATCCACATGTGTTTTGTGGATTTGGAGAAGGCTTATGACCGTGTCCCCAGGGGCACCCTGTGGGGGACGCTCCAGGAGTATGAGGTGGGTGGATTTCTGTTAAGGGCCATTCAGTCCCTTTACCAGAGGAGCGTGAGTTTGGTCCGCATAGCCGGTAGTAAGTCGGACCAGTTCCCAGTGAGGGTTGGACACCGCCAGGGCTGCCCTTTGTCACGAGTTCTTTTCATTACCTTTATGGACAGAATTTCTAGGTGCAGCCGTGGTGTGGAGTGTGTAGAGTTTGGTGGCAGGAGAATCTCATCTCTGCTTTTTGCGGATGATGTGGTCCCCCTATCTTCATCCAGCTCTGACCTTCAGTTCTTGCTGGGTAGGCTCGCGGCCGAGTGTGAAGCAGCTGGGATGAGGATCAGCACCTCCAAATCTGAGACCATGGTTCTCGTCCGGAAAAGGGTGGCTTGCCAACTCCGGGTCGGGGGAGAGGTCCTACCTCAAGTGGAGGAGTTTAAGTATCTCGGGGTCTTGTTCACGAGTGAGGGTAGGAGGGATCGGGAGATCGACAGGCGGATTGGTTCAGCATCTGCAGTGATGTGGACGCTGAGCCGATCTGTCGTGGTGAAGAGGGAGCTGAGCCAGAAAGCCAGGCTCTCAATTTACCGATCGATCTACGTCCTAATCCTCACATATGGTCATGAGCTTTGGGTAATGACCGAAAGAACGAGATTGCGGATTCAAGAGGCCGAAATGAGTTTCCTCCGTAGGGTGGCCGGGCTCAGCCTTAGAGATAGGGTGAGGAGCTTGAGCATTCGGGAGGGACTCGGAGTAGAACCGCTGCTCTTCTGGATCGAAAGGAGCCAGTTGAGGTGGTTTGAGCATCTGGTCAGGATGCCTCCTGAACGCCTCCCCGGGGAGGTGTTTCGGGCATGTCCTGCCGGCAGGAGGCCCCCGGGTCGACCCAGGACACGTTGGAGAGGTTACATCTCCAATCTGGTCTGGGAATGCCTTGGGGTCCTGCCGGAGGAGCTGGTGGAGAAGGCCGGGGAGAGGACGGTCTGGAGCTCCCTATTGGGATGCTGCCCCCGCAACCCGGACCCGGATAAGCGGAGGAAGACGACGACGGCCCTTCTTCTAAGTCTGCATCGATGCAGACTGCAGATCAAGGGTGCAAAAGGGTGCGTGATCAACTTCTGAACTTAAGAATCGGGTGCAATGTGGTAGTGCAAGTATTGGGATTGGGCCCATGAGTGGCAGCAGACAGCAGGATTTGGGGTTTTATTTCCTAATATTTGAATATCTCACCTCTGATTGACTAACAGCAAAGCAACTCTACCACTGATTCAGTTTGCTTTGAAACGTTAATGTTTTATATCCTCAAATACAAACTGGAGGAGTTCTGCATGTGGTTGAGTTTCTAATGCTAACAGGTAGCTTATGCTTGCCGAGATGTTCAATGCTGTTTCCTGGACGCTAAAACAACAACAGCCTTCCCCGTCGTGAGCCAAAATGGGTGAGTCCAAGTTACCAGCTGACGTAGAGCTATCAGGCTTTTCAAATCCTACAGTTTCACCATCTGTTTTCTATCACAAGCAAATGCAAGACAAAAGTGTAGGAGACTATTTTCATGTTCAGCCAGTATGAAAAACTCAGAGTGACTAATTTTAATCAGAAATAATAATTAAACTGGTTTTAAAGTGATCCACACCTTTAAATGAAAGAATAATCAAATGTGTTATAGAAGCCATATCGGCTGAGACAAATCTTTCACGTGTGGTACCAAATGCTGCTTTGCAGCTCCTACGTCAAGGAAATGAAATGACTCATAACTCATGATTAAACCGTCATTTAAAAAAATCATTGATACATTTGCCAACTACACACTCCTCAGTATGTTATTTCATTGTAAAACTATTCTCAGGTTCTCCAGGACTCAAAGTAATTCCTCAGGACTGATTTAAACTCAGATGGATTATTTTTTACAAGTAGTCATGGCTCAAATGTGAAATAAACTACATTTTAAAAATGTTTTATTGCAAGTTTTACATCAGATTAAGAAAAGATGGACCTTTAGATGTTAGTGAATATTTTGTTAATTTTAAAATTTTGATTGCCTTTGATATAAACTTTTTCTATTTTATTAAAATTGTTTATGTTTTCCCTTTTATTCTGTTGTATTGTGAAGCACTGCTACTTTCTGTAAAACGTTTATATTTTTTGGTAATGAACTGTGAATTGGAATGTTTATTATGTGAAGTGCCTTGAGACGACTCTTGTCGTGATTTGGCGCTATATAAATAAATTTGAATTGAATTGAATTTAATAGTCAAATCATCAAAAACAATTTTTACTGTTTTCATATTCTAACAAAATTTTTAATAAATTTTAAAGATTAAAAAATTAGAATAGAAATAAAGGTAATTTTCTTTTCCAGTAATGAATAATAAACTTTTTTCATGAAAATTTTTTATTAAATATTTGCTCATTCGTGAAATTCTTTAGAACAAAACTATTTTGTCTAGGAAAAACATTTTAAAAAAATGCATGTTTAATATTTTTAAATTAATGTTTTCAGGTGGCAGGATTTTATTTATTTTATTTACAAACTAAAAAATAAACAATTACGCTCCTGCTCGGTAGGTGGCGGTGTGCGTGTTATTCAACCAGAGAAGAAGAATCACGGAAGCACATGGCGTCAACATTACTGTGACTGAACATATTTCTTAACTTTTGTTTGAATTGATTGATTTGAGCCTTTTTGCGTTTGTTTTTAAAGTAGTTGAAGAACTCGGGTTGCTGCAGTCATGGTTCGAGCTACAAGGTGGGTTTAGTTAAAGCGATTACTGGTTAATTTACCTCCTAGCCTTTAATAACTGGATGAAAGTAATATTTTGTACGTTCTTGCTGTGTTTGTCTTCAAATTCCATTTTTGGTTCTTTTTTAAACACAAATAAAGGTTTCCTTTAGATTTGAACCCAGGTTTTCTTTGGAAAAACTTTATATGTGTTTTAAAAAGAACCAAAAATGGAATTTGGATGAAAGTAAATACAAAACAAAAACAACGTCAAATAAAAGGCTGCAAATGCACCCGATGGTGACTTTTTTTCTTTACAGGAGGAAACAAACCCGAAGGCCTCAGACGAAGCAACAATATGACGACGATGACCCTGAAGCCTACAGAAAAATGCCTGTTCCTGATAAGGTAACTAATAAATATAGAATTATTTCATCTACTTAAAATGGTTCTTAATGAAAAGACAAACCATTGATCTAAAAAAGAATAATGGACCAAAACGTTTTGTTTATTCAATTACGCTTTTTATGAAAGGAATAACAGTGCAAATGTGAAGTTTTCCTCCCAGTTCTGCACTTAAAATGCTTTTTCCAGGTATGATTATTCTCCAGATCAAGTTTTCAGTGTCTTCTCTCTTTTACAGAAGTCTTTAGAGTTCATAAAAGACAAAATCGATGAGTTTCACGATGAGAAAATAGCTGTAAGTTCTCCTATTTTAATCCTTGAGAACAATGTGGTTGTTTTGTGTATTGAATATTTTCTTCTGTGGTGTCACAGAAACTTCTCGCCCGTGGCGTTCAAATGGAGAGTGACGAAGAGGAGCTGGATGATGAGGTATTTTGGTTTCTGTTTATTTAGGGTTAAAATTAAAATGTTTTTAGAAGAAACAGAAGTTTTGTCTAAATTTCCCAGGAGGAGGTGATGGCTCTTGATGATTCAGAAACAGAAGAAGAGGAGGAGGAAAACAAGGATGATGGGACAGATATGGAGAGTGACCTGGAGGAAAAAAAGGAAGAAGGCGAGTCCACGGTTGTTTTTAAGCTTGCTTTAATCACTGATATTATTTAATTTAGTCTTGTCGTCCTCAGATCTTCCCAATGAGATGGCGTGGGGCACCAGAAAGAAAATGTTCTACGACTCAGATTACGTTGCTACCAGTACGCATCTTTTACCTCTGTTCGTTGGGTTTGCTTTAATCCCACGCAGGACTGATATTTACACACCCAACCTTTTATTCCTGCCATCACAGAAGGGAAACCACGGGAAGAGTTGGAGGTGGAGGAGCAGGAGGAAGAAGAAGAGGCGATAAGTATCCAGAAACGTTTGACAGCGACTCTGAGTGAGGAAGATTATGATTTGAGCTTTTTTCAGGTATTTTTTTATTTAATTTGTTTTGTTTGCTTACAGTAAAGTATAACATAATAACTGATTCTTTTCAATCTGGTCACCTTTTGAAGGAGTTTGCTGCGAAGGACAAGGATGAAAGCAAGCCGGTGGAAAAGCAGGAGAGGATTGTGAAAGACTTAAAGCAGATGTCTCAGAAGGAGAAAATGAAGCTTTTAAAAAAGGAATCCCCAGAGCTGCTTGAACTCATTCAGGACTTCAGGGCAAAGGTCAGACAGGAACACTGACAGCGCAGCTGTACAAGTCATGAACTTTTAGACGGTGACATGTTGTTTTGTGTGACTTGTGCAGCTCACTGAACTGAAGGATGAGCTGAAACCCCTCCTGCAGATGGTCAGAGATGGACAGATCCCACCAGGGAAGGTGAGAGGAGGAAGCTCTTAAATGATCATTTTACAGCAAGTTTTATTCGTGGAAAATCACCAACGAGAAGATTATTGTGTGTCTGCGCCAAACAGCGAGCAGCAAGTTGGTAAAAACGAGCAGCTCGTGGTTAACATTTTTTATGAGCTCCTGTTCAACTGGGATCGTTCCTCTGAGGTGTTTACGCTCTACTGGAATCACGGGTTCGTCTCAGAGAGCTGTCTCATCTGGTCTGAGTGGACAGGAGTGCGATCTGTCCACAGATGAGACGGGGTGGGCATGATGTGGATTTTTAATCTGGGGAATAAGCTGACTGAAGCCTGTTAAGTTTGATTTAACAGATTTGGGTAATAGTGTTCTGATAGTGATGCGCAGCACCGACCAACGATGGTCATTTTTAACATATCGTAAGCTGGGCGTATATTAACAACTGATGTTTGTGTATCTGTTTCAGGAAGGTGTAGGTCGAGTGGTATTTGTCTGGTCAGGTGACATCAATCATCTCAACAGCAATAATAGTATTTGATACCAGTGCACCCCTACTTCTCAGGTTACAGGAGGTGTTTTGGGACGATGTTTTTGTGTAAAAGTGATAAATAGTTACTAGAGTTAAAGAAACATTGTTTTAAAGGCCCAGCTTTAGTCATCAGACTGATACAGATGTGTAAAATACGATAAACAGCCGATAAGTGTTGATGCAGAAATGTCGTGCATCTGATTTCACCTGCTGTAATTGGCTGAACAGAGTCAGTTGGGAGAAATGGAGGTTGTATTCTACAGGACTCATGAGGTAAAACGGTTTCTTAGGGCCTCATGAGACTTCACCGGCTACAAAATGTAGCAGATCCGGAGCACCCAGGTCAAATCTGGCTGGAACTCACTGTGTCGTATCAGACAACCTCAGTGTAAAATAAAATCCATATTCTTTAATGACAGAAATGTTTTAAGGTGGCAGCAATATGGCTGTGTTTGTCCTGCTGAACATAAACTATTTCTCCACATAGAGGCCCTCCAGGAAAGTAACAACAGGTCAGATAGTAATTTGTTACTTTTAAACAGACAGAAACACACTTCAGAATGGCTGAAAGTTCCGTGTGTGAGCTCGGTGGTGTGTGCTATGAGGTCACTTCCTGGTGTGAAACAAAAAAGCTTTTCTCCTCTTTTCCCAGGGTGCTGAATATCTCAAAACAAAGCAGCAGCTCTATCTCAAGTAAGTCGTGTAACTAAATTTAGATCGCGCGTCCCTGTCATGGTGATGGTTGATTGTCTCCTGCTGCAGTTACTGCACCAACATCAGCTTCTACCTGGTGCTGAAAGCGAAACGAATCCCTGCACACAACCACCCTGTGATCGAACGACTGCTCACGTACAGAAACGTAAGACGTTTTTATTAGACGTCAACCGGAATTAAAACTCAGAATTTAAAAACTGTTTTATTGATGGCTTGATGTGTGCCTGCAGCTCATCAATGAACTCGGTGCGGTAGATGCTCGGTTAGCTCCGGAGTTTCGTAAACTGTTGGCAGGTGATGAGAAAGATCAAACCGCTGTTAAGCCGGCTGAGGGAAAGAAGACCAACAGCTCCAGTAAAAAGGAAAATGTGAGTTTTACCAGAGCGTTAACGAACGATCCTGAACGACATCAGGCTGAAGCTGTAATTATTTTAAACGTAAATGACATCGAGCTCTCAATGGTGCAGGATTCTGGAGAAACTCTGCCTGAAGCCGAGGACTCCGACTCAGACCTGGACGAGGAAGCTGCTTTACGTTTCTACAAAGAAGTGGAGGAGCAAGTGAAACTAAAGAGGAAGAGCAAAAACCCAGAAGCAGAGGAGTACGTTTGATTAAAGCTTTTAGCTGTGATTAAATGAAACACGGATCTAACACGGTTGCTATCTGCTGTAGGCTGGAAGTGTCGGCTGAGGAGACGGATCCAGATAGCAAGAGAGGAATCACGTATCAGGTGTGGAGTGGCAGCGATGTTGTACCGGTCTGTCGTGGTGAAGGGAGAGCTTTATTTTAAACATAGTGACGACACCAGCTGAGGGAGATTTTTCTGCTTCTGGAAACCAAAACCCCACAAAAAAAAAAAAAACTCAGACTTCCTTTAGAATCGTCATTTTTCACTGGTTTTCAGGAGAGTTCAGTGGACGATGCTAACATTTCTGACACTTCCACAGATGGCCAAGAACAAGGGTCTGACACCAAAGAGGAAGAAAATAGACCGTAATCCAAGAGTCAAGCACCGAGAAAAGTTCAGACGGGCTAAAATCCGCAGAAAGGGCCAGGTGTGTATCACACACACACACACACACACACATTACAGCATCAGCCCTATTTCAGCTTTAAGCATTGAAGCTGATTTTCTTCATCAGGTCCGAGACGTTCGTCGTGAGGAGACCAGATACAGCGGGGAGGCGTCTGGTATTCGTGCTGGTGTCAAAAAGAGCATCAAGCTTAAGTAACCAGGAAAGAGTCAACGTCACGTAGTCTCGCTTTAATATAGTCACATGGTACAGACTGAACATTAGTACTGGTGAAACGTTCGGCAAAGCAGGCATGACATGTAAAATTTTTCTTTCAATATGAATAAAAAATGTAAAACTCTTATCATGTAGGCAGTTATTGTTCAGAAAACGTACAGAGACACATTTAAAGAACAGAAAATCATAATTTTTACTATAATTGTGCAAGCAGATGGAAAACTGAAGGTACACAAACTTCAGTTCCGAACACAAATGCCGGGATCCGTTAAGATGACACTTTAAGTTTCTGGCAGATGTAGGCTGACTGGATTAATAAACTTTGTGTGAGCTGAAGTCAGGTTGCTCACTATCCTCTCCTCTATCTCCACCCCCTTCTGCACCTCCTCCTCTGTGAGGCGCAGCTCAACCTGAGTCTGCGGGGTCACGACCACCACCTGACCCCGTCTGGAGTCCAGCACGTTGGCCACCACCGCCTGGTGCCGGTACGTGTCCAGAGCTCGGCAGGCCCGGTCCAGCAGGATGGACTCGTCCGTCTCCAGCTTGAAGGAAATGACGAACGCTTGAGGAGCCCAGTCCTTAACGAGAGGGGACAGGATCTTGGGGACCATGTTCAAGCTGAGCTGAATGGAGAGAAGAGGAAGGAAGTCTGTGACGCGGTAAACTCAGTAAACACCGAGGAGTCGAGGCTTAAATCAGGAATTAGGAGTGATCAGCTGAAGGCTGAAAAACAAAAGTACTTATTAGCATTAAACTGAATCTTTAAAGTAACGTTGCAAATAAAAACTGGCATGAATTAAAGAAGATTTAGAAACTTTAATATTTAAGAAGCACCTTTGTTCCTTTACTTTTACCTTTTCCAATTCACGCTTTGACAAGAACTGATCAGAGGTCTCCTAGTTCATCCCAGAGTTAAACTCGAGGTCATCTGAATTATTTTCAGTCAGTGTTATTTTTCAGTAGCCTAGTGATTTGCAAAGTTTGGTCTAGGAACGCTCCACTGGAACCTCTGCAGCCCCTAACAGCATTCTGGCTAGCCAATCACAGCTCTCTAGAGGGGTTTCAAACACTTAAAGAGCTGTGAACTGGTCCATAATGGTGGGCCAATCACAGTGCTCTATCTGCTTAGTGAACAAATCAGAGCTTTATCCGCTTTGTGGGCCAATCAGGGCACTCTATATGCCTGGTGGGTGAGATGATGCAACAGAGTGAAACAAAAGTATGTCACATTCATTGCCCAGTTGCATGCGGAGATCCATTTGAAAGACAACGGTAGAACCTGCCCCACAACCGAGAGCCGTCAATGGAGCGTTGCCAGACTAAATAATACATTTATTTAGTCTGGCTTGCCAGGCTAATTTTTCAGCACATCATAGTTTTAAATTTTAGTCATGTAGAAAATTGGGATTTAACAAAAAAATGAAATGTAGCTTTTCCGAAAGTAGATTTCGCATCCATAAACAGCTCCTCTTATCTTTTTGAGCGTTACTTTTCTGTGGCCGTCTCCAAGTTTAGGTCCTCCACCACCTCCCTTACCCATGGTGTCCTACAAGGTTCTGTGCTGGGGCCTCTGCTCTTCCTCCTCTATCTGCTCCCTCTTCAGCACATCCTGAGCTCCTTCAAAGGAATCTCCTACCATCTTTATGCAGATTTCTTCCAACTGTACATCTCCTTTAAGCCCCATGAGATGTCTAAGCTGCAGCTGTTACACACCTGCTTAAACTATCAAAACCTGGATGGCTGGTAGCTTTCTACAGCTGAATGAAGATAAGACTGAGATCCTCATCTGTGCCCCAGACAAGCTGGTTCCCAAAGTCAGAGACTCTCTTGGTCAGCTTGCTTCCCACACCAACCCCTCTGTCAGGAATCTTGGTGTGACCTTTGACCCAGCTCTCACCCTGGATTCTCATGCCAGTTCTCTTGTTCGCTCTTCCTTCTTCCATCTCAGGAACATTGCTAAGCTGAGTCCCATTCTGTCCCACTCTGAACTTGAGACAGTTATCCACACCTTCATCTCCTCACGCTTAGACTACTGTAACTCTCTTTTCACGTGTCTGAGCAGAACCTCCCTGAACCGTCTACAGGTGGTTCAGAATGCCTGTGCTCGGCTTCTGACCAAGTCCTCCAAACACACCCACATCACCCCGCTTCTCCTCCAGCTTCACTGGCTGCCAGTCAACTCCAGGGTTCATTTCAAGATCCTGGTTCTGGTCTATAGGGCCTTACATGGACAAGCACCATCTTACATTGGTGATCTTCTTAGTCCCTACACCCCCAGCAGGTCCCTGAGGTCCAGTGATCAAAGCCTACTGGCAGCGCACCAGGCTAAAGACCAAAGGTGACAGATCATTTGCTGCTGTGGCCCCCAGACTCTGGAACTCTCTCCCCCTGAGCCTGAGATCAGTGGACTCAGTGGCCTCCTTCAAAAAGCAGCTGGAGACTCACTTGTTCAGGCTGGCTTTTGTATGACCTTTCCCTCTTTCCTATTCACTCTCTCTCTTAACATTTTTTTAATCACAATATATTTTAACCATTTTATAAATTCTTTTTATATTTTTACATTTTTTGTTTTTGTGAAGCGCCTCGTGATTTATATCTTGAGAGGCGCTATAGAAATGATGTTTTCTTCTTCTTCTGCTTCTCATTTAAAGCTAACTGGACAAATAACCAGCATTTGTGTATGTATATATATGAAAAATGTGAGTGATTCAACAGTATGAGTGAGGTTTTTCCTGCTTCTTGAGTAACTGCAGGGGCTTAACTGTGTTTTTAGGGGTGTGAGTCTTACAAAAACTCACGATTCAATTCTGATTCTCAGCCTTATAACAAAGAATCTTGATTGAGAAATGAATAGATTTTTTCCGGCACCTCTAATATTTTTACATCCAAATCTGATTTATTACAAGAAACAAAGCCAAATTTCACAAAAAGCTCCAAAAATTATGTAAACTTATTGAATAAGAGCAAAATATGTCATTTATTACAGAATCTCGGTGTAGTTGATGCTTATAAAACACCAAAAACACTGTAAGATAGTATTTACTGCTCCAACACGCGTGTAAAACTTCAGATTTAAAGCTTTTGACTACCCGGAGAGGTATATGTGACCTTTGCCCTCCTAACCCGGTATTACACAACCAGACAGGTCTGTTTGCTCAGCTTGTTGGGAGGTGAGCGGAAGCTCAAACAGTCCCTCATTAACAACACTGCTAATACAATCAAAATGTAAATGTTTAACCAAAGCCTTAAAAAATGACAGCCAAGCTGAAATAATTGTCTGTAGCTGGTAACAAAGGTCAGAAATAAACCAAAACGAGACAGCTAGAGTTTCCTTACAGATGTTTTGTGATTTTAGGACCGCATTTGTATTTCGTGTTCCTCATTATTTTCAAATCCAGCATCCAGACAGGAAGCCTCTCTGGATTAACCACGATCCTGAGTTAAAGCTTCTTTCTGGAGTATTTCTCTTATCCGATGGCACCATCTAGTGGCTGACAAGCATATCACACAAAAAAAATCTGTCGCTCTGTTTTTTAAGATGGCGACTTCACGTTTATGTCTATAAATGTGCTTCTGTAGCCGAAAAAAGGAGCTAAAACACGTTTTACGAGTATTATTCTCATGTCATGTTGTGTTCTCATATATTTTAGAGATTTACTTGTCCATGAAAAGTTAATCAATTCTGCATCAGCCGAGGTATTCCTTAAATACGAAGCAAGTAAGCGGTAGTCTAACGCTATTGGTTAGTTCTGGTCGGTGCTCAGTTTCCCATTGCACGGAGCTCTGCGGGGCAGGGGGCGTGCTTAGCAAAAAAAATTAAAAAAGACGTATTGCTTATATTATATCACAGTACATGATAAGACAATCACTTTTACGGATTTCTGACAAATCATACATCATTTCTGAAAGGAGAAAACTCCGGAAAGCAGCTTTATGGGGACACTTTGCAACTTTTTCATAATTTTTAAATAATTTTCTTGAGCCAGTATGTGTTAAAATTACCCTTTACAGAGTTAATGAAATGTTTCTCAGACCCCACCGCCGTCTGTGGCCAGAATACCGCCACCTGCTGAGCATGCCTGCCGCTGTAGTCTGGTTCCAGCACGTTTCCTGCATGTTTTAGGTTGTAAACACAACTGATTTGTTTAATTTAGTGATGAATCGCTCCCGCAGACACTAATGAAGACTAGAGACGTTTCAGCTGTTAGATAAAGGTGTTAAAAAGACGAACGCACAGCAAGGAGATAAGTTTCACCTTTGGTTCTACTAAACAGACACTAGGGGGTGCTAAAAGGAAGACAAAACTGCCAAGTGTGCCTTTAAGTGAGCTCCAGATAACTTGTTCACTTTGAGTCATTCCAACAACATATCCAAGTATAACTAATGAATATATTTCTACATGTCTCATATTTCTGTATTTTAATGCAGCAGGCCAAACAAACAGAGGTATGTGTTTATCAGTGATGGGAATGCGTGATTAAATTAATAGGAAAATGAGCTGCAGACACGGCCGCGCTCGGGAACTATTTGATGGTTTAATTAAATGTAATTAAATGTTTTAACTAAATGTAATAATTAGCTGCTGTATATCTGAACAAAGGTTTCCTACTTTAATCTGTAAAAGACGTGTCCGCCTGAGACAAAGTAGTAGACATTCTTGTGTTTTCTTATGATGTAAACCACTGTTCCTGGTATTTCTGGTTCTTTACTCACTTGCAGAGGCCCGTTGGATGATTGGATCTTGTGTTCAGGCATCTCAGACGCTGGTATGTAGAAATCTGACACAGCTGCAGCCAAGTAAAACATGGCCTTTGATCCTAGTGGTAAACAAACATTTAAAACAGCCTCAAACTCGACTCACCCACAGCTTCAACCCGTTAATGACCCTGAATGTGTACCTATTGGGTGGAGCGCCTGCGCCGCCGCTTTGAGTAGATGAAGGTACTCTGACAAAGTGTTGAACTCGATGGGCAGAAGAAGTCCTCCTTCTTTCACCTCTTGGTACTGCTTCAGAACTTTGACAATGTTTGGAAGCATCTGCTGGTCTACCACCACGTCACTGGGGTTACCAGCTGTTCCGTCCGTGACCTTGAACTGCAGGGCATCCAGCATGTTAATGGTTAAGAACATCCGTGTGTATGGGTAGAGAGAGCGATGCCTGTGGAGGAAAATGACAGCATAGCCAGACTCTATGAAGTACTCTGCTGAGGCGGCTCCTCGTCTGCCGCTGCTGAAGTTGTCAAGGAAGCGAACTGTGCGGGACTCGAGGGGAACTTTGGTGCCTCCAGATGTGATGAGGACCACCCTGCGACCTGCTTCTGTGTGACGCATGGCAAAATCCGCCATCTTTTCTTTGACATCCTCAACATGAGAAGGAATGGCAAATTCTTCAGCTAGCTTTCCATCGATGGAGGATATTCTGCGCTCAGCCATGGCCTGATGAAAGAGGGAGAATATAGAAAGACAATTTGATAGGAGTACCAGATTTACAACAACAGATTATAACTGCAATGGTAAATCTGAAAAACAAGCTAGTTTTTAAATGCAAAGCCACAGAACTCCACCCATCACATTGGCTATTATCCCTAGGCCTGATATGGGAACACGAATTGCCACAACAAACGAGAGAGCATTATATAACAGTAACCATTTTCTATGTCAAAACATCTTTTCAAATTATGATTTTCTTTTTGAGACTCTGGTAGTTTGTCCTAAAGTTGAAGTGGTAGCAGCCGGCTGTTTCTCCTTCTTTGATATTATTGAGCGGAGAACCTCCCACACCATTGGTGTTCTATTGTGAAATGTGTGAACACATAATTAATGGAGGACCCAGGTAAATGTGAAAGTGCAGTGTTCTGCTGAGACGGACAACCTGATAGTCCAATGGTTGATTTTGGACCAAGCCGTGCCATTGGCAGAGGTTTTTAAACAAATGTGAGAAAACTACTTTAAACTTTGTTTTTATCTATGTTAGATTTTACTTTGTTAGAATGTTAAGAGGGATGAAAAAAAAAGATTTGAGCTAGCTTGTGTCACAGATTTGTCATTGTAGCTTTAACAGATAAAACCTTTGTATAATTCAAAAATGATTTGATAAGTTTTACCCAATCAGCAAAAATGAGCTCCTGCTTTTAATTCCTAACTGGGATAATGAACTAATTTCTCTTGGAGAAAATGAGATAAAAAAAATTGTAATTCTGAACTTTAACTTTGAAATAAGATTTTGAGATTTTGAAATCACTTTGATAAAAGTGTCCCTTCCAAAACACACCACAGCCCATAAAAGCAACAGTTATAACTCCTTTATGCTACTGAAATTACTATAGTGATCACATCCAAACAACAGACATTGGGTGTGCTACGCAACATTAAAATATTTATTGTAGCTAGTAAAGTACATAAAAATATGTAGAGGTAGAGGTATATCACAGTATCAGAGTAAAAGTGAAAATGTGAATTTGATCCTACACAAACAAGATTGTTAATAAATTAAACAGCAGTGGCACTAGGAACGATCCTTGAGGAACACCTTTGGCTACACTAGTCTAGTTGACCAGAATAATTTGGTAATTGTATGCTATTAGACTCTCACTGGGCTAAGTGTAGTTATTTGAGATTTATTAGAATAGGCCAAAATCAGATTTTGGAGGTTAGAGATTTGGAATAGATCTGAAACCAGAACAGACCCTCAAAACCAGAATCGGTGCATTTCAACTTCCAGAATTTAGCTAAGACTTTGACTATTACAAGTATTTTTTTTATTCAAGTAGAAACATTATCTATGCATTTGTAATGGCTTAAAATAAACGGCTAAAATAATGTGTGTAGAAAATCTAGAAGAACATCAAAGCAAAATACTGACTAACTAAAACTAATGAAACAAATACAACAAACTTTTTATTAATGTTGATGACGTTCATTTACTATTGAAACCTTTTTAATGGGAGGTTTGACACACTGACAGATTTAAAGCCTCCTAAAACTTTATCATACACAGTAAAATCCAATGCAACACAACTTAACAATAAATCACAAATAACTGAAGCTGTCTGATCCAAAACTTGGACCCTAATAAAGTTTCCTCTCACGAATCTTCACAAAATAAGAGTTTACCTCCAGGCTTTAATTGTGCATGGCCGAGCCGTGCAGCTGGGTTCTAAACGAACACACACGACTTCAAAATGACATGAAAAATCTCTTCAACACATGACTGACGCACTTGGGAGGTAAGATTAACAAATTAACTCCTCCTTCAGCTGCAGAACAAACGATTTCTCAAACACTTTTTACCTTTTTTAAAACAACATACGCGATAGTTGCAAAACGCAGAGTAAAAAACACACACAAAATACAAGAATGTACTCACAATAAAAAGGTAAAATATCCTTTCCTGGTTTAAGGGTTGTTGACAGTCTTCCACAACAACTTGTCCACTTCCTGACTACCTCTATGGTTTCAGTGAACACACACACATCGCCATCGCCTCTAGCGACAGAGAACGGTACTGACAGATGATTCACTTGTTTACTAGAGCGGCAACCCTGGTTCCTTTGTGGTCAACTAATTCAGTAAAATTCAGATTAAAATGAAAAGAATAAAACAGCGAATCCAAACTCGATTTAAATGTGAGTTATCTGAAAGCAAATGAAGGACACAGAAATAAAGAAACACTAATAATATTGTTGATTCACCCCAAAAAAGGTGTATTTCTAAAGATAACCTACAGAAAATGTTTAGAAACTTTTTGTTTGTTTGCTTGTGTGCTTTGTGAGACTTTTGTAAATAGTTTGAAGTACATGTAGTTGTTGTCTTTATTAATCATTGGCTAGACATGATATGGTTTTAAAATCCAGAGCTTAATGTCTTCGAAACTGAACTGACAGTACTTTATTTTAAACAGTTTTTAAATTATGACTAGAAAATCTTTTCAAATATAACGATTTTTGTTTGCTGAGCTGTAAATATGATTTATGTACGTGTAGTTTCACAAACAACCCAGGGGAGGTGTTATTGCACAATATAATCGGTACAATGAGGAAACCAAAGGTCTAAGTGGCTGCTATATTTATTTATTTATTTATTATTTTACTTTTAATGATTTTAATCACTTACTGGTTTTGTGGCATTTTGTTAGTTTATTTCTATTTTATGGCCTAAATTAACATTTATAGATGATAATATGTGGAGAGACAATAGTTTTAATGTTACAGTATGTGATGTTTTAATTTTAGTATTTATTCAACCTTTATTTACCCAATTAAAACCCACTTAAGGAAGCAAACTAATTTACTCAGTCATCATACGGGGCTCAAATAAAAGACTATAAGTAACTAACAAAATATTAAACATATTCAAATACAAATTTGATTTATTTGGATACTTTTTTCATTTGTAAAAAACAAGTTGTTCCAGTTACATGAAATGATGTGCTTTGTGATTAAGAACATAACCATAGGTGTTGCTAATCCACTTAGTTTAGAAAACATTCATATAGATGTGAATGTACATGAGCACATTAGTGGGTGTATGCATGTGTTGAGAAAGATGCAAAATAAACGTAAGCACACACACACACGCACAGGCACAGGCATGCAAGCATTATGCTGACAAACTTACCACTTGACGACCTGTCCTTGAAGAACAAAGGTTTAGAAACATTATTACTATTATTATTATTATTATTATTATTATTATTATTATTTACCTGCAGATCTTCTCATCGGTTATATTAAATTCTGCATCTATTAGGAAAGCAACACAAAGAAACTAGGAGCTGAAATAAGTATCATGAAATGTGAGGTCCAACTTTAGGTGTTGCATTTGTCTTATTTCAGAACACTTTATGACATTATGATAGAATGTTGACCTTCACTGTTAAATGTACAAACACAAATATGTAGATTTTTAAATTATATACAAATTTCATGGCCTCAAAAATCATAAATAATGTTTCCTGACAACTGGATCTAAACCTTTTTTATTAACTAACACTGGTGACAAAACTAAACATACTATTGTGATGGGGGAAAGGAAAAATGTGTGTATAAACCACTTTATAACTTCTTTTACAAGAGAAACAGAATGGAATAGGTTACAAGGAATTCACTATGTCTGAGGGCAATTGGCTTCAAGATATTATGGTACTTTAGACACTTAAGTGATGGCCTTGATGATTCTTTTTAACTTATTTTATGACATTAACTGTAAATCTAGATATTAAACAATTATAATTCAACCACACAAATTCTGATGATCACATAACATTTTGATCATGATATAATAAAATTAATGTTGACAAATGCTTTTTTTTTAAATATCATAAAATGACATTGCATGCATTTTGGAGTTACAAGTCTACTAGGTTTTATAATGTGGTTTATTAATGTACAAAACATAAGAAAATGATTTATTATTCTTTAATAAAGGTTTATAAAGTTATTAGTCATTATTTTGACTTTTTAAATAGTCTATTATGACCTACTATGATGCGTAGTTCCTTATTTGTTAAACTACCTCATCGGCCATTTAAAATTACATTTGCTCACAGTTATCTCTAAATACACCAGTTCTATCGACCCGTTCATTGATTGAGGCGCAGCCTTTTATGGGCGCTGTTTCCATTGCGGGTGTGAGCATTCAACCGCGCTAGTTTCTGTGGCGGCAGGCGTGGTGGGAGAGGGGGAATCTTCATGTGCGTCGTCATATGTGAAAGTAGTTCCGGGCACTTAACCTAAATGGGGGGAGAGTCCCGGATGTTGGCTCGAACTGGAGAAGGCGGAGAAATCGAGGAGGGACGCCACGGCACCGCAGGCACACCGGCGAAGGTCTCTGTACAGGACAACAACGTCAAGAGCCCGGGACACTCCTGGAGGGAGGACACGCTGTCTGGAGAAGATAGAAGGTGGAAGGAGCGGGACACGGTCACTCTGAAACTACCGTGAGGATTACAGGGAGCGACTGTCTCAACTGCTTTCATCCAGAGTAAGTGAGCTACATGGGAATGGAAGTTGAACTAAGGCCCGTGCAATGGTCGATTTTGACGGGGAAGTGAGCTGCAGTGAAGTTCTGGGGATTGAGCCCGATGAACAGGCCCTAACACTCCGCTTTTCGTTCGCCGTGGCGCAGCGTGCCGTGATACAACGTATCCTTTTTTTCTTTAAAGTCGGTGTTCGGCCGTGGCCAGTGTTTGTACACTCCGGACGTGGTGCTGTAACTCTCCAGAGTTGACAGCTCTGGGGTTAGCCTGCTAGCAGCGCCATGCAACCGGTGACAACTGACAGGACAACTTTGACAGCCAGCTAGCCAGCCACGGTAGGCGGCTAACTCGTGCTCTGCTTGGTCGGGGCTTGTTCCCGTTAATAGACGTGCTTGTGTTTTCCTAACATTAACAACGGTTTCGTGACCTACCCCCGAACCTCCAGCAGCTACCGTTAGCTAGCAATTTGGTATGTGAGACGTTTGTGTCTAGCATGAGTGCGAGCCCAGCGTCATCTGGCTTTTCCTGCATGCTTTGCTCCACAGCTGTTGCAGTGTGTTTTCTGGTCTGTCACTCGCCCGTTTTACAGGCGGCTAGTGAAATTCTTGCAGAAAACACCGAGGCTCCTCTGATAAACCGGTCTGCGTCTGCGGTGTGGCTGGACGATCAACAAGTGCAACGTGTTTCAGATGAATTTCATGCTACTGATCCACACACCGTGTCCACCACAGATAGTCCTGATCGAGAAGCTCAGGCAGTGTTGCATTAAAGGTTTAGTCGTAAGTGCAAGATAGTTGGATTTTTGTAGTTGACCAGGGCAGCTACTGCTTTGTTCGTGTTGCCTCTTTGGTGGGTGTTTTTGCTGCTCACAAAACGGTGTCCTTGGTTTGCTTCAGCGGCCTTTATTAGAAGATGGATGACTGCACTCCCAATTTTCCCTGCTGTCACCTTGTGCTGGTTTTAAATTAATGATTTCAGCATCACTTTACGTTTTGATTAGCAATAAGGAGATCCCCAGCCCATCTTGTTAAGCTTTAATTTATGACTAAAATCAAACACTTGCAGCTCCCCCCTCAACATCATCACAGCCCTTCTAGACCTTATGCTCCAGCTAACAAAATGCCCATAGCGTTAGTCAGCACCCACAATCAAAGGTCAGACCTGGTTTGCTTCTTAATCACCCGTCCTTTAAATAGCAGGCCCGCAGAGCTGTCTGGATCGAGGCTATTTGTGCATGCAACTGTAGAGGACACATGGTGTTTAGTTAGGATGGTCCTCCCCATCCAGGTAAGGACAGTCAAAGTAGCCACATTTAACATTTCTTCTGAAAGCTGGGGCATTGCTGCTCATCAACCATGCTGCTAAAATACTTTGTTAACTTAAGTCTGAAGAAGTCTGCTCCACTGAAAGTTTCCATGTTTTGCCTTTTGTTGCAGCAAATGAACTGATTGTGAAACCGGTACATGCATCGACTTTAGCAGTCTGCTTCAGTCATTGATGATTTGTAACATTTAGGTACTTATGAAGGGTGTTGCACAACCAAAATCTCATGTCAATTGAAAAAGAATGTTTAAAAACAAACGGTTCTTGAGTAATAAGCACAGTGCAAAAATAAAGATTAAACCAAATGTAAAGAATGTCTTAATAATGCATACAGGAACATGTGACTGAAGCACATTTGCACGACCCATAGACAGAGCTCAGTCATGGGGCGGGAGCTACGGCTATCTTTCAAACTGCATTGCACTCACCGCTACGGATGTCAGTCAACGGGGCAGTCCACCGTACACCGTCGAAGTTAAAATACAAGATAATACATCCTCTTTTAAAAATAAAGGACTTTAGTATCTCTATCTGCTCTCGACTCGAAGCAAAGCCCAAATCTAAATAGTCCAAAGATGATGCCAGTTTCAAGCAAGCCACCGCCATGTTAGTTTTTTTTTTTTTTGCTCAGATGCAGTAACAGCCCACCCACCAAACCAAAAGAGCACTATGATTGGCCCATCTTACCAATAAAGCGCTGCAATTGGTGTGTGTGTGTGTGTGTGTGTGTGTGTGTGTGTGTGTGTGTGTGCGTGCGTGCGTGCGCACCCACATGCTAGGATTTGTTTAGGCCTACTTTAGTAAAATTCTGTGATGTTATTCGGACCTGTATGACCATAATAGGGACCAAGAATTTGGGTTCTGGTTCGGCTTATGGCTACATTTAACAAACAGATTGGGCTCAGGCCTACACTGGTGGTGATTGATGTCATGGTCTGGACCATGTGATGCCCAGTAAATGGAGATGAAATGATCTTTTTATTATCTTTCCAGACAATGTCTATAAAACCAGTAAAAATATTGGCTTGTCACCATTGTGTCCCAGATTATATTTGGCTTTTTGGGGGGGGGGGGGGGGGATAATATATTACTAATTTGAATTTGTGTCAAGGGTCAGGAAGCAAGCATAATAAAACAAACTTAGAATAATCTTTTTCTCCAGTTTTATCACATTAGGAGTTCTGTACGTGGCCCTGTGCATAGCTGGTCTCACAGAGAGGGTTTTTAATTTCTCCCCTTGTTGGAGTGATTATTCAAATGTCCATCCGCAAGGTGTAGTTATCAGACTCCTGGTGGTCCTTCAGCCTGTGGCAACAAAAAACGGCCATCAAAGCCCCCTCATCTCCACGCTGTGTAGTTGGACGGCACCCAACTGGCAACCTTTGTTGCAACCTCTATTAGACTCTCACATCTTTACCCCCGAGGCAGGAAACCTATTGTGCTGTGCAATTGGCAGATGGCAATTTATTCATAAGGATTTCTGATGCTGTTGGTCCGAGGCTTCTGCTCAAAGACTCACCGTTTGAGTTGAGTCCCCGAAATAACGTTCTCATAGCTGGACTTTCCCTTTTAACTTTTATCATTTTTTATGTCGTTTGATGACCATAAAACAGGATCTTATTCAGTGGTTTATTATTATTTAATCAGCGCGTTATACGATACATTTCAGACTAAATAACCGGATGGTTTTATCAGAACGTTGTCTTTGCTCTCTGCTCATATCCAGGATGAGGTTTGGCTCTCATGGCTCGGTGAGATGGGAGCGGTGCAGTCTTTATTAGCAACACTCCGTATCACTAGAATGCAGATGAGCTATGAAGCCAATTCATCTGCTGGAAATGCCTCCCTGATTCCAATTTGAATCTTGTTTGCAGTCACATTGTGTGAACCCACTTCTCCATGTTAAAGAAGTCTCTTTATCTGAGAGATCAGAGGGGGATAATTGCACTTAAGTGAACCTCATTTAGTGCTGGCCAGAGCAATTACTGTAACTGCAGTTTTAGGCTTTTTTTCTTCCTATTCCTCCACGAGGGCCTGGAGCAGCTGTCATTGAGTTTCTGTAGCTGCAGAATCAAATGTTGAATAGAATGGCATTGGCATGGCATCATGGGAATGGCATATCCTTGGATGGATTTTAATTAGTTTTTTTGCAGGTTTTTGCTCGGCTCCTTTTTCCATCTGAAGGAAAGTGTAATTAAAAATGACAATTAGAAATGCATAATTTTAGTGATGATTGAAAATAAATTACTCTCAAGGTGCTGTAAGGTGGAAAAAGCCAGAAATGTTTCTTCAGGCAAACCCCCCCCTGGGCTTGAGGGGGATGTTTTATCATTAATGTTATTCAGGAGCCAAATTTTGAGTTTTGCTCAGCTGGGTGCTTTAATCTATTTTTGCTGTAAATTAATGAATTTTTAAAGAGCCCCTCGCTGGATACGGCTGGATGTGGGAATGCAGCACTGGTTGAGTTTTCAAACGAGCCTCTACTCCATCGTTATCCCCACCCCTTCACCGCCCACCCTCCTCACAGGATGGAGAGAGCGAATTTCATGAAGCTCCTGCTTTCATTTGTTTTTTATTCATCCGGCAGTACGCCGTCTAGTTCTCCTCGTCTGACCTCCTCTCTGTCTTTTGAGATGGATTCGTCAGCGAACTAGTCCGATACGCTTCAATTCGTGCCTCTTTGCTCGGAGTGTGATGTAGACATGAATAAGATAAACTCGGGATATTTAATTCAACTGGCTCGTTGCCTAACATTATTGGAACACTTTGCACAGATTTGTGATTTATCTGAAAAGCGTATCTGTTTATTTCCCCGGTTTGACTAATCTGGGTCCGTGCTTTGTGCAGGAGAGCTACTGTAACAACCCACACTGCAGCTTGCTGGGTACGTTCAGTAAGTTTAGGAGAAAAAGATGAGGAGGGGGTTGGCAGGTTCTTCATCATAACATGTGGCCCCATGACTCATTTTAGACGAGTGGGAGCAGAAGGATTGATGAATTTTGCGGCTGTTTAAATGTAATTACTGCAATGACATTTTTACTTTGTATTGAATTTTATTTATTAAAATTGCACTTGATGCGATCATGCGAGAACAAAACTGTGTACAGACGAGTTACTTTTTTAGCAAAGTCAGCATGAAGCATAACCCCATGTCAAACATGTTTCAGAAGAATATTTTACTCTCGGTAGTCTCTGTGGTCTTCAAGCTTTTACACGAATCCTAAAGAATAGCCAAATCCTTTAAGTTGCTTCCAAATACTTAAATAAAGTCTTTAACAATAAATTTTTGCACTTTGTTCTTGAGTTTTGATAAACTTGCAGAATTGGTCAAACTTATATGCTTATGATTTTCCTCTCTTAGGAGACCTTTGATCTGTGAGCAGGAAGGCGAGTTTTCTAAGCTGAAAGGGTTTAGGTAATAAATATGGAGCTTTCCTACTAGTTTTCTTTCTCACAGTGGCTGCTCTGGCATCTGTAAGATTCCTTGTGGTTAAAAAACACAATTATAGAAAAGTTATGTAGAAAATGTTAATTTGGGAAGGAAGATGCGTACCTACATATACTAGCAAAAGGGCTTTTACTGTGTTAGGACTTCTCTGTGATGAGTCTGACCAAACCACAAATAATTTAATAAAGGTGTCCTATCAAGTAGAGGTGCTGGAAAAAAATCGATTCAAGTCTG